TACTACAAGACCAGTCTACGTCTGGTGCAACCGATACCGATATTGTTGAAGCGCGCGCTTACTACGCCTCTCTCTGCGGAGCTCTGAATTTGGAGAAGAGGAAATGGGAGCAATGCCTTCAGCACTACGCAGTTGCTAGAATCGTGTATACGACACTTGGTCAAATAGCCAAGAAGGAGGCTTTCCGAGACCTTCTCTCCGGCACCGTGGATCCTAGCATTAGATATGCGGCATATCAGATGAAACTTCCGCGCTCGAAGCCTCTTCCGTCATTGGCTATCAACTATTTCCCATCGAATGCCGAGGTTCGATCCGAAGTGGAGAAAGTCGATCCCAATTGTCTGAAGGAGGATGCGGCAGGAACCCGACGGACTGCTGATGGAGAGGTGCAACAGCTCCCAGAGACTATTGAATGGAGGTCACGAACTGTGTCGTTGGAGGATGCGTCGATTTCTCAGGCCCTTGCTGCTGCTGCGGCAGCCGAAGCCCATCTTACTGCATGGTTGGCAGAACCTGCGGGCAAATCCGCTTCATCTAAAGACAAGGCTGCTGCTTATGATAACGTGATCATCGCCAGTCAGGATGCGGTGGATGCCACGAAGACTGCCATCGATGATCTTACCAGTGAGGGAGTTGACCCTGGTGATAAGAGGATGCAATCGCTGCAAATCACTCGCACCGCAGTCAACTATGCCCTTGTGGGATGGCGCGTTGGTCGCAACCGGGTGCTGTGTAGGGAGCAGGATGATTCCTCGTTTGATGCCAACGCGACAAATGCCTCTCGAGGCGACAAGGCTGGTAGCCGACGCGAGGAAGGCCATGGGAAGAAGTTGACACAGCTGCGTGAGAGGGTCGTCCTCTACGATTCTACGCTGCAAAGTTTGGATTTTGTGTTTGAGCTTCCGGGTGTCGTTGCTGACAATGCTCTTGTTTCGGAATTGGATGCCAAACGGGCTTACTTCCGGGCTTTGAGGTATGTTATTATTTTTCTCCCATGAGAAAGACTAACCATTTAAATAGGTGTCTTGCAATTGGTCGATCTCATGGCTTCCTCGGGAAGTCGAGAGAAGCCCTGGCACTCTTTTCTCAAGCTCTGAAGCTTGCTTCGACTGCTACGTCTACTCAAACACCGGATGTTGAGGGACCACCCCGACTAGATGTTTCCCGTGCCCAAGCGCAGACGCTCGCAACCACGCTGCGGGACCTTGTCGCACAGTACCGGGGTCTAGTCACTTTGGAACGGATGTCAGCAGAAGAAGTGTCCAAGTTAACTAGCGAGCGGCCTGTGATTGAACGCCTGCATGAATACTCTGGAGATGGGTTAGATCTCAGCCACCTGGTTCCTGCCCTCCCTCAACTGCACCCCGTGCCGGTGAAGCCACTGTTCCTGGATGTTGCATGGAACTACATTGACTACCCGCGTGAGGGCCAGGGACCGGCTCGGACCATTGAAGAGGCACCGGAGGAGAGAAAGAGTAGTCGGCGTGGTTGGTTTGGCTTTGGGCGGTGAAGTCGCATTCATGATTCATGTATTTTACTATACTGATGAATCAGCAAGTGACAGACACGTGCCGACTACGACCCTAATCTGTTAGCCTTAACAAAACTAGAGTGGGGCAAGCTGGCCAATCGGGAAGAACACAACCGAATCAGCTGCTTTTTGGAGCTCAGATAGCAAAACGTCAGCTTGGCCCCAAATCAGATGATGGTTTACCCACTCAATTTGGGCCATTGACACTATCAGTTATTATTAAACGGGGCTACTTGAATGTAGAACGCTTCATAACCCTATTTACATCAAATAATGCACGAATAATGCCGAGTTGTGAGGGGTTCATGCTATGCGCCCAGGTGTTCTTTTCGTATTTTTTTTCCCTTTTCTTTTCTTTTTTTTGCCAAGACACACCGCTGGCCGCCATTCCGTCCGTTTAATTTCGCGGCTCCACCGCAGGAACACGGCCGGATGTTCTTCGTCCCGGTCCCTGAGAGCGTAAATACTGTATTTGTTGTACCCTTTTCGGTACACGGTTTAGGAGGCGCACACCAGGCTGATTTTTTTTTTGCACCTAAATATCTTTCTTATAGTAATGTTATTGGCGTCGTGGGATTATTAATCAGACGGTACCTGCATGGCTGACTGTATCCGTGGTCCTCCGCCCACTGCAACGATGAATGTTACAGTACTGTATTGGTATTACCTGCTATACACTTCATTCCCCAATAGGATCCCCCAGAGAATCTTCTTTCTTTCTTCTCCCTTTTCCGACTCTTCCTCCATTCATTCACTCACTTCACTCGCTCTCCTCATTCCTTTGCTTTCTCCTCTCCTCCTTCCCTCTTTTCCCTTCTCCTCATCCTCCTTTTCTCTCCTCTTTTTTCATTTTTTCCTTTTTGCTTCATCTTTCTCGGGAGTTGCGTGTTGTTTTGTGGTCTGCACATTATGGCCACCGTCAATGGGAGCTTTGTCTCCCCTATCGCTGATGCCACCATCTTCCCCAAGGTCTTTGAACCTTCGGGCTTGGTCGCTTCTGTGTTCCAGGGCGTCTCCGTCTGGAAGGCTTTGTTGACAATGTTGGTTGGAGCTGTTGTTTATGATCAACGTAAGCTTCTATTTTTCTTTTTTATCTTTTGTCGCGTTGTTAAAAGTTGACCATAATCGATCATATCTAACAACTTAATTTACCCAGTGCGATACTTCTACCTCAAGGGCTCCATTGTCGGCCCTGCTTTCAAAATCCCATTCATGGGCCCGTTTCTTCAATCGGTCAATCCCAAGTTTCACGAGTACAAGGCGAAATGGGATAGCGGTGAGCTGAGCTGTGTTTCCGTCTTCCACAAGTAAGGCACCCTACTGGTTTGCGCCAACAAATTGCTAGTCTGTAGCAGCTGACTAACCTATCACCATAGGTTCGTTGTTATCGCGTCCACTCGCGACACGTCTCGGAAGATCTTCAATTCGCCCGCTTTTGCCAAACCCTGTGTCGTCGATGCGGCCCACAAGCTTCTCGGAAAGACCAACTGGGTGTTTTTGGACGGTAAAGACCATGTTGAATACCGCAAGGGTCTTAATGGCTTGTTCACGCGCGCCGCGCTCAGCTGCTACCTCCCGCGCATGGAGGAGGTCTACAACGAGTACTACCAGCGGTTCCTCGAGAAGTCCAAGGAGGTCAACTTTGAACCCACCGCTTGGATGTCTGAATTCCGTGAGCTTATGTGTGCCGTCTCGTGTCGCACCTTTGTCGGCCACTACATGACTGCTGAGGCTATTCAGAAGATCGCTGATGACTACTACCTGATCACGGCTGCGCTAGAATTGGTCAACTTCCCCTTCGTTCTTCCGTACACCAAGATCTGGTATGGAAAGAAGGCTGCAGACATGGTGCTCGAGGAGTTCTGCAAGTGTGCTGCCAAGAGTAAAGCGCGCATGGCTGCCGGCGGTGAAGTCTCCTGCATCATGGACGCCTGGATCAAGGCGCAGCAAGATTCCGCTAAGTACCGTGCGAAGGTTGCTGCAGGCGAGCCCGCTGAGAAGCCTCCGCAAATCCTACGTGACTTCAGCGACTACGAGATCGCCCAGACCATCTTCACTTTCCTGTTCGCCTCTCAGGATGCCACTTCGGCGGCCTCCACCTGGTTGTTCCAGCTTATGGCCGACCGTCCCGACGTTCTGGACAAGGTTCGCGAGGAGAACCTGCGCATTCGCAACGGTGACCGCACGGTGCCTCTCTCGATGGACTTGTTGGACAACATGCCCTACACCCGTGCCGTCGTCAAGGAGACTCTCCGCTACCGTCCACCCGTTATCATGGTCCCTTATTTGGCCAAGCGCGACTTTCCCGTCACGGACAAGATCACTGTGTCCAAAGGTTGCATGGTTATCCCCTCGATCTGGCCCGCTCTCCACGACGAAGAGGCATACCCCAACGCAGACTCTTTCGATCCAGACCGGTGGGTGACCGGCACTGCTGAGAAGCAGACTAAAAACTGGTTAGTTTTCGGCACTGGCGCCCACTACTGCTTGGGTCAGAACTACGCCACCTCCAACTTGATGGCTATGATTGGCAAGGCCAGTATGGAGATGGACTGGGAGCACACCCCCACTCCTCTGTCCGAAGAAATCAAGGTGTTTGCCACCATCTTCCCTCAGGTATGTTTCCTTCATGTTTCTCTACATTGGTCCAATGGCTAATGGTCACCAGGATGACTGTCTCCTTGCTTTCCGTCCTCGTCCCTAAACAATTTCTATTCTCTATTTCTCGAATAACAGCTTGGTGGGGTTCGTTTCGCATCAAGCGTTGCATATCACATTGGAACCAAGATACCCGAAATGCGACGCTTGAGTTTGAGACTTCCCTCGCCATTGTTCTTTCCCTATGCTGGAGATGAAACGACCAATGACACCTTTTTCCCTTCTCGTGATATAGTACTATTGCCCCATTTGGGGTTTTCTTTGGGATTTGATGATGCGACCTGACATAGCGATGGTTTTATTCTTTATTCATTTTTCTTCTTTTCCAGCTACTGTTAACTGGGGATCAGGACTTCCGAAACTGTATGATTTTGCAACGACCCATGTGGGATCGTCCATCTCGACTGATTATTGTCAGTGGAGCGTTTTCTCGTTTTCACTTCTATTCCCCGTTTCTCGAAGGTGGCGTTGCATTCTAGATCCCGCGACTTAGATTTAATAATAATTGCAGGCCTTGCATGTTTTTGCCACGCCAAAAAAGCGTTATTGTGTTGTAATATGTCTTCCTGTATCTATATTTTTACATATGCTATTGACTTTGACCAATGTGTTTGCACATGCCATATCTGTATTTTGACAATCATTTATCACATCCGGCAGGCGGTACATCGCGGCAGCCTGACATCACTTCCATCTTAACCGAATACACTCCCGCCCCCAAAAGCGTGTACCAACCTCATCCGTCTTCCAAACAAGCATTACGTTCGAGAACGATTAATTAGTTATTCAATCGAAGCAATTCCCCACCACAATGTCCGCACCAACCCTCCGACGATCCTTTACCACCTTCAATGCCCGCCTCGGCAAGCAGACTTCCTCGGCTCAGATCTGTCGCCGCAGCGGCAGCGCATTGCAGAATGGAACCACGGTTTTGGCGCTGAGAGCGGCTCGTGCTGGACAGAGAGGTCTCTGGACATCATCGAGGACTAGTGTAGTTGCGCCCCTGTGCACCAGTTTCACCCCCCAGGATTTCGTCCGCTGGAATAGCGGCAAGAGCGGGCAGGGGTGGAAACAATGGAAATTCGAAGACGTATGTTCATCTACCTTTCCCAGTAGCCCCTAAATATCAATCTAACGCTTCAAGCAGATCAACGCCTCCCTCCCTGCCGACACTCCCAACTCCCCCTCCCAGAACCCCCAAAAGAACCTAATCCTCGTCGACGTCCGTGAACCCGCCGAACTAAAAGGTGGCATCCTCCCCTCCGCCGTCGCTGTTCCGCTAGCCTCTCAACCAGATGCGCTCTTCTTATCCCCAGACGAATTCGAAACGCGCTTTGGATACCCGAAGCCTGGTGTGGGTGAGGAGGGGGATATTGTGTTTTATTGTAAGGCGGGGGTTAGGGCGCGGGCGGCAGCACAATTGGCTGTGCAGGCGGGGTATGATGTCGAGAGGGTAGGGGTTTATGATGGGAGTTGGTTGGATTGGGTTAAGAGAGGTGGGAAGGTTGAGGAGTGGGAGGGGGAGGACTATTGACTTCGTCTGAAGGGTTCGAGTTGAGGGGATGGATGGGGATGTTGGATGATGGAGTATTGTAAATATGCGTTTTATACATATCAAAATGAAAATGCTGAGTAAGTGTCGGTCGTTCATATCGGCTAGCTGCTATATGATATGGCAATGGTCTGCCAAGAACAACACTCAGTATTAGTTCTGATCTAAAAACCCTGGTAATAGAACATACATGTTCCGCCACACTTTGGCCTGATGATTCAAGCATCGAGTGTGATATCTAAAAGTGAGATCTCTTCCAATCAACAGAACTCGATTCAGCAGCTTGGTTTCCAGTAAGGTAGGCATTATTGTCCTAGAATGTCCTAATGAGCAACAACTGTTCAAGACCAGATTATAAAGGCCGACAACTAATCGCAAAACTTGCTGGTTAATTGAGTACCGCACTACTTTCAGTCTGGTCAATCTATTCTTGAATGGACGTAAGCCACGTAGTTCTTCCTGGGTTGTTTGTGTAGGACTCAGCTAGCGTACATTTGACAAGTTAGTTGGTGTATTCTGTAGAATCCTCTCTCAACGGATGCATTAGTCGATGGTCTGGTTTCAGACGGTCATTAGGGTTCATCAGTAATCACAAGAAATAATGGTCAATAATAACAGTCAACGATGATTAGAAAGAAACCAAGCGACAAACGTCAACCTGGTGGCTGATTTTGTCTGAAAAAATACCGATTGAAGAATTCTGAGCACACTGTTACATGGTGGCAGTATGCCATCCAGCCATTATTCGTTCACGCATATCTTCTAAGCGGCCTCTCCTTCAGCCTTCCGTTCGCAAAAGGACCACATGTTCCTACAATTGATGGTGGTGCATGGACTTTAGTCGGTAGTCTTGAACTGAGCAACACGCTCCACATTCCCGGATACCCTGCACTGCTGGCAGAGTAGTCTGCGCTCATGTAATAAATACCAGACGCACGACCTCGCGTGCCATTGACGCCGTGTGGAAAGTTGGACTAGCAGAAAGCTAGCGTCATTGCGTCCCATACTGCAGTCTGTAAATTTGTGATTCCAGTTGCCGTGAGACCCTCTGGCAAAAGGATCTCGCGTGGAAATCGGTTCGCTCGGTCGTCAGCAATAAGTAACAGCATTTTAGGTGCTTCTTTAGTAATAATGTCACTGGAATGTCTAGTAGCTCCACTTTTTCTATACTCTTTGGCTCGGTTCAACTTCGATATTCTTGCTTGGAGCGAAAGAAAGGGTTCTCATCCTCCATTACATGAGCTTCTACAGCTTCTGCTCGCTTTCTGTATTTGTATTGATGTTTGGTGATTATCCTGGTCCTGTAGTTACGAGAGTAGGCTTGTCAAAAAACCCTTTCATATCGACCATTGATGTCGCGTGTTCACCTAAGGGAAAAGAGTCTAGACAGACGAGTATTTCTTCTTCCTTGACATCCACCAGTTGTCCACACAACTTTGGCTTTTTGGAAATTACTTTTGGCTGTGATTATGAGACTCATCCTCTTCTGTGGTATGTATGGCCAAAGCAACGACTTCTCTCGTGGGTGCTCGCACAAATATATTGGAATGTATATCAATAATTGTCGTAATTTGATCACTCAAAGTGAGAGGCGCCGCATATAGCGGTTTCTTGCGGTTTATTTCCCTTGAATCTCCATTATGGACCCAGTTTAAACTGATACTTCAGCTATTGGAGCATAAGGATCGCTCCAAAGTCTCATAGTTTCTCAAGGAAACTGTGAGACAGATCGTAAACCAAAGAGTCGATTTACAGTTAAGAGCCGCGTATGTCGCAGGGATATTCGCTTCCAATGAAGAGCTGTAAACACAAGCCATGGAGACAATCAAAAGACCTGACATTTCATATGTTCCCCAAGGAAAGAATCATTCTGATAGAAGAGTAAACAAGCAATCTGACGAGATATATGGGGTTGTTCCGGTTATTGCCTCTCTAATTATCACTTCAAGCTTTTGACATGGTCTAACGTAGTCCTATAATAGGATTGCTAACTGTTTGTGGTCCACGTATGGACCGTTCACAGACCTATCTGTATAGTTTAGAATGTTTATCACATCATGCGTTGTCGCAGCGGAAGGTCATTCGCAGTCCATTCCAGATAGATTGAGTTCTATAAAAAGCCCATGGTCCTTGACTCCGGTCAAAAGGTAGAAAATTGATGTGAGCAGTTGCTGTAGATCTTGTGTTTGTTGGTGAGCAATGAGAAGCTGGAAAGCTAGATACTTATATGAGCAAATGAGCAAATGAATAACGATGAAGGATAGAAGTGTCAGACACAAAATTGAAAATTCAAATAAGATATATATAACAGAATTGATGGAGGCAGGGAATCGAACCTCAGACCACCAAAAAATGGACGTGTGGGGATTCGAACTCTGCATCTGGTGTCTACCTAGACGAACGCTCTTCCCGACTGAGTTACACGCCCTTTTTTATTATTAGGCCTTACGGTTAATTGGTATATATGTTGTATGGTAGGTAGCAGTGGGTGCTGCGTGAATGGCATAAAAAGTAACATAAAGAATAACTCGGGACGATATAGTTGCCTAAAAGGGTTATTGAGCATGCGACAAGTGGGTCTCGTAAGCCCTGGTGGGGACTGTGGAGAAGTCGTTCTGAGGCTCAAGTTCTAGTATCATTCTAGAAGTATGTATTACCATTATGTATTTATGTGACGGCAAAAAATAATCACAAATAGTATGCACATGAAAATAGAATCATGGTCGGCATGACCTAACAACATCATTCACAGCCGGCACATTCAACCCCGAAGTCCTTCCTTCAGCTTTATCCCCCTTGATTATCCACCAACTCATATGACACTTCTTCTCATTCGAGTCCCATGTCCACGCCATACAGAAGCCCGGGCGCTCCACGCGGCAGATCTGCTTGCATGTGTCGACAGATGTCACGTCCTCCACTGATTGAGTCCACTCGTCTAACCGGCCGACGTAATCCCAGTTCTTGTGGCCGGTTTCGTATATCGGGTTGTCGAAGAGGGATGCTGAAGCCTTGGGTATAGGAGAATTGCCATTTTTGTCATCACTTATAGGGGTATTCCACAAGTCAATCCAGAGGACCTGCTCTGTGGTATGCTCAAAGGTCTGACTGACGCTGAGCATATCCGACGATGACGAGAGTCCGTGAAACGAGAGGACCGGCGTGCAAAGTCTTTCCCTGGTTATCTTGGACGTATGAGGGCTCTCCCCATTGAAAAATGCGGCGTATTCTTCATTGATGTAAATCTCCAGTCGGTTCAGTGATACCGCCAGGCGCTTATCCCCCCATGTCTCATCTAGGGATTCCCGGTGAGCCATGGCCAGGTACTCGCCGTCGGAAATGAGATGGCTAACGGCTCTGTGCGACATGATGATAGACGATCCTCCGTGGCCGAAGTGGCAGTCCTCTCCGCCTACCGGGTTCCCGAGGTAATGTTCACGGTTAGGGTTAAAATGTTCGATGAGACGCTTGTATGAGGGCTGTATTAGATACGTGTCGTCGTCTGCCATGATGTACCATTTCTTATCCGGAAATCGGTTGTAGAGAAGTTCCGCTCCAGAAAGAAACTACACCGTTAGCAGAGCCCTCGCGCATGCACAGATAGCTGGTAGGTACCTTCATCGCATCAAGCTCCCACCCAAAAGCCCCAGACATCTCCCGCGCAGCATCCACATCCCCACGATCAACAGCCCTGGTCAGATTGTAATACTTTTCCAATCTCGGATGGTCCAACTCCCCCGCCAAATACCCTTTCCCAATCATCCAACCCAACACATCATGTATAGGTAGTCGTCGGTCACGGTACTGGTACTCTTGCCCCGGCAACGTGGCAAAATCTCCAATAAGAAGCAGATCGGAGAGTCCCATGTGCTCATGCGCTTTCAGCCAAGCCGGGATCCGCTCTTTTGTCCCAATTCCCGATTTGACTAAAACTGCGACATCTTGGGAGAAATCCACCGGGTATGCACTGGGTTTGTTGATGAGCCACCAGCGTCTCTCGAAGAGAGCAGGTACTGCTCTCACAATAGCAGCGCGAAGGCTGAATTGGCTGTCGTATGGTAGAAGAAATACGAAGATGACGAAGAGCAGCACCACGGCCGGGGTCGATCTAAGCTTCCGCGAGTACCGACGCATGGTTCTGATTCTATCGGGAGTCACCGGAGAGATGAAAACATGGTAAGAAGAGCAAGAACAGACGGAAACTTGGGCAGGACCTCCCAATGAGTACGCGTCAGCTTTTTCACTGTTTGTTAGTGAAGACTGCACTGCGCAGATTGGGCTAGAACAGATCTGTATGCAGAAGACACATCAATCAGATCGCCATCTGTGGTTGGTTCCTGTCGAGTCCTATGGATCCACCTTGAAGATTTGCCAGTCTAACCAATCACAGTTAATTTTATTTTCGGGGCTCACGTCCGCCATAAGATCACAATTGGCTGAACTCAATTCTTGGCATTCCGTCACCGTCGCCGAGCTGTTATGCTGCACAACTAGCTAGATAAGCCGTCATAAGTTCCCCGCAACCAAAATACAAGTATGTAGTACCCCCTTGCTCTACCATCCTAACATAAACAACACTCCTCTGACACTAACTACAACAAAAACATAATGTCCACCAACTCGCAATCCCTCCTCCCCCGCCGCTCCTCCGTCCCCAAAGCCCGCACCGTCCTCAAACCCCCGGAGCGCCCCATCGCCCTGCGCCGCGAATACATCACTGACACAAAAACCCTCCTCACCCTCAACCCACAAGGCGGTTCCAACTCCTCAAAGGCCTATACTATACTAGATGATGAAGGCGCGGTCATGTTCACGGTAACGGGGTGGAAGTTCAGCGACAGGAGTTGCCGCGAGTTCCGCGATGCGTCGGGATTACCGCTGTTCGAGCTGCATCGGACTTGGTTCAAGTTTAGGCATAAGTGGTGTGTTACATTGCCGGGAGTTATGCCTGGTAGAGGTGGAAGCAGTAGTGGTGGTGGTGGGTTTGGGGATAGCTGTAATAACGGGGGTGTTCTTGCGACGGGGTCGCATCGGATTCGGGCTCTTGGGTATAAGCCTTGTGGGGGGTTTAGTATTGGGATTGAGAGGAATGCTGCTGCTGCGGATACAAAGAAGGAGGATGATAAGAAGCTTACGCTGAATATTGAGAGATATGGGAATGTGTTGGCGTTATTTGACGTTGTCGATGGGGATCGCAAAGTTGCCCAGGTGCGCGAAAGTATCGAACATAACGAGAGACTGGCCCTAATCAGTTCGCGTGCGGACTATCGCCCTGTATTTGATGTTATCGTCACGTCCGGGGTGGACTTGTCTTTGGTATGCTGTGTTTCAACTCGTGTCGTTTATTGATGGCTAACTTGTATAGATTGCTATCATTGCGGTGATTGCGTCGGATTCTGTTTTTACAGCGAATATTAAATGACTTAATTTAATATCGTTGATCTTGTTACGGCTTTATATAATACAATATAGCATCTAGTTTGGAAAGAAAAACATCGCATTGAATCATCATAATAGCAAACAAGCTGGTATCGACCACGTTCAGGTATACACATCTAATCAAGTCGTGGCCATTCATGCAGACATAAGACTTTTCGCAAGACGCAAATAAAAAATAATTCGTTGCACTTTTGTTCCTGCCATCGATGCAGAGCCATTGTCTCATTTACCATGGACATGCAGAAACACGCCCCTAACCTTTTCTGAGTCGGCTACCCCTGCGCTTGAGTATCTGATCGACTGCCGTGCAGTGCACCCTTTCTTAGGGAGATTTGAATTGAACAGACCCAGCACGTGGTCTTAGGCATCACCCAGTCGTCGCCTAAGAACCGATGGAACCAGCTCAAGGAATGTCGAACACAGGCTTGAGCTTCTTGACAAGAGCCCATTCCTCCATCGACACTTCGGGTCGATAAAACTCCTTGAGCGTGTCGATACTGGCACGAGAGATGCGCGAGTACAGTTGGTCCTTCTCTTCGAGGTGCCGGCCGTACATGGGCTGATTGGATCCCTCGATCTTGACAGCAACAGAGGGCTGACCTCTCTTGGTGACTTGGACCGGCTTGTGGTCACGCTCAATGGACACACTGTATCGATTTATCGAATTAGCGCCTTGTTAAAAGAAAAAAAAAAAATAATAATAATTAAAGACTTACACTCTGCCGATGTCGAGGATTTCTTTCTGTCCAGTTGCGTTTGTCTTGATGGCGCAAAGAGGTGCGTTCATCCGGAGACTTCCCTCAATCACATCGACACCAATGACAATAGGGTCCTTCTTGTTGAAGACAGCAACGGGCTTGAGCACGCAAGGGAAGACAGCAAGCAGCTTGCTTTCCTCCTTCCGTTGCTCGGTCAGTTCAGCCATGTGCTTGGTGAAGTCATCAAACAAGTGGTAAATAATGTCGGCTGTGAAAATTTTGACGCCAACCTCCTCAGCATAGGCGTACGCTTCCTTGTCCACCTTGACATCGAAGCACAGCATGACTGCAAATTCCTTGGCCTTCTCCAGCATGGTTCCAGCCATCATCACATCACGCTTGTAGACAGGACCAATGGAAATGTTGGCAACAGGAATCTTGGACACACGAAGGAATTCCAGCAACGCTTCAAGCGAACCAAGGGTGGAAGCCTGGACGCTAACACCACGCTGGTCCTTGGAGACCTTGCTAAGAAGCTGTTCCAGGTCGGACATGACCTCTTCCTCAATGTCTTCCTCGTCATCGTCAGGTCCAACAACCATCAGACGAGAACCAGCAATGGCTTGTTCAAGATCGTTGGCGGCGATCTTTACACCCAGGGAGGCCTTGACCTCCTTGTTGTGGACGTATGCTGACTTCAGACGAAGTTCCTTAAGCGGTGCTGGTGTCAAGAGTGCTCGAATGTTCGTTGATATAGGCCCGTTGAGACCGCACAGTACGACTCGATCGCCTTCGCGAAGGATACCATTCGACAGGACAACGTCAATGGTGGTACCGAGACCTTCAATGACCTTGACTTCAAGGACGGTACACTCGACCTCGGAGAGATACATCAGGGCGTTGGTCATACGCTCCTGGGTCAAAGTGGTCAGCAGCTTCAACATGTCAGGAATACCCTCTCCAGTGTGTGCCGAAGTGGGGACCAGGGAAACGTTCCGGGACATCGATTTGTTCTCGTAGAAGAGCTCCGAGTTGAAACCCTGCTCAGCGAAAAGAAGCTTGGTATGGTCAAGACGGGTACGGAACTCGTTTTGAACACCCTTGTTCTGCATCGCCAAACTGTCCTGGAAGCCGTTGTTGTCAATCTTCTTCCAGCCGTACAAACGATCGATCTTGTTCAGAGCAACGATGAAAGGCGTCCGACGGTCACGAAGCAATCTCATGGACTCCAAAGTCTGAGGCTCGAGACCGTGCATGATATCAACGACCAGGATGGCAATATTACAGAGAGACGAACCACGCGAACGCAAGTTGGAGAAAGACTCGTGACCAGGAGTATCGATAATCAACAGACCAGGGATCTTGAATTCAAACTTGCCATCCTTGTTGACGACGGCAGTCTTGGTCTGAAGGGCGTCAACGGGGAAGTAAGTAGCACCAATCTGTTGGGTAATACCACCAGCTTCGCCTTCCTGGACATTAGTCTGACGAATCTTGTCCAGTAGCTTGGTCTTTCCTGTGTCGACGTGTCCAAGAATACAGCAAATGGGGGAACGAAGGTTGTCCTTCGACCGGGCAGCCATGGCCTCCTCGTACTGCCTCTTTCTACGCTCGGCGGCTTCGGCTTTCCGTTGAGCAACGGCCCGCTTGGCAGTCGACTGCTCCTCATCCTCGGACTCCGATTCAGACTCAGACTCCGACTCGCTCTCAGATTCATCCTTCTTGGGGGCAGCAGTGTCTGCGGGCTTCTCGGACTCCTTCGCAGCAGCCTTCGGCTTCTCCCCTTCTTCATCAGAGGGAGCATCCCAACTGTCCTTGACGTCGTCAGCATCGGCCATCTTCTCCCAATCTTCACCCTCGCTCTCTTGTTCCTGTGAGGCAGCAACGGCGGCAGCCTCGGCTTCTTCCTTGGCCTTCCGCTCCTCTTCCTCCTTCTTGCGGCGCTCTTCCTCGGCTTCACGCTGAGCCTTAGCACGAGCAGCAGCAGCCTCAAGGTCTTCCTCCTGCTTCTTCGGGCCCTTCTTCTTCTTGGTGTCGTAGACGGGTCTCTTCTTCTCGGCCTGGTTTGCTTCGAGACCGGCAACTGTACCCACACCAGCCGCAAGCATTTGCTTCATACGCATTTCATTGCGTTGCTGAGCTTCCTTTTGGGCCTTGCTGAGGAGCTTGCCTTCACGTCTAAGTTGTTCTTTCTTTTCCTTCTCCTTCTCCTTCTTCTTCTGACGAGCTTCCTCCTTCTGTCTCTCTTCTTCCTCGTCAAGGATGCGTTGTTCCTCTAGCGCAGCCCTCTCTTCAGCGCGAATTCGCTCTTCTTCTTCACGCTGCTTTCGAAGTGCTTCCTGCTGCTTCTGGATAGCGACTAGGTGGGCGGGAAGCTTCTTCTTCTTGCCGCCGCCGGCGGGTTCCGGAGCAGGAGCAGCAGCGGGGGAAGGCTCGGGAGAGGCTTCATCCTTGGGCGAAGAGGCTTGCTTGGCTGTTTCTTTCTTGTTGTCTCCAGGCTTCTTCTTAGTAGCAGCCTATAAATAGGAAACAGTCATTTTAGTATAAATGTACACGGGAGCACAATACAACTGAACAAAGAGGGGAAATAATTTACCTGTTCCTTCTTACGTTGTTTCTCTCTCTCCTTCTTTTCCTTCTCCTTCTCCTTCTTAGACTTCACACGGAACTCACCCTCAGGCTCCTCGGTCTTTTTAGCCTTTGCTGCTGCGGCGGCAGCCTTGGCGCTCTTCTGGTTTCCGGCAAACACATCCTCCTCCTCATCTTCGAAGGAGCCTTCTTGCGGTGCCTTGCTGGCCAAATCAACAGCATCATTTGCCTCCTTTGTAGGATCTTCCCCCTCAACAAAGTCGTTATCCTGCTTCCCCTTCTTGGCTTTCTTGGTCTTGTTTTTCCGGAGCGCAGCGAGAAGACCGCCGCTGCCACTCATTTCTTCCTCTGCTCCCTCGGTGGCAGGCTCCTCCGCGGGCTGGGGCTCTGCAGCTGGTGCGTCTTCTCCCAATTCTGCCTCCCAGTCTTGCTCTTGCCGCTTGTTTCCCTTCTTCTTAGGCGCCATGATTGCGATGTTGCCCTTTTTCTTTCTAAATCGGTGGTCTTCGAATGGTAATCGATTCCTATAACTAACGAACCGGATGTTAGTCAAACCGATTCCAGATGAAACGTGCGTCGTTCAGCTCTACGGGTATCACGAACAATACTCAATTGTTTTCCTTGTCTCCGCCTGCGGGCAAAGCGGACGGCCAAGTGGCAAAGAGGCGGTGTCCAAAATGATCTGAACAAAGAGAATATTCAGATAAAAATCACACCCCGAAAACAAATATCCTCCCTGCAAGTGGTTGGAAGACCTTCGGAGGGTTGGAGAGAGTTGGAGGAGCTTTTTTTGCGGCGGTGGTCCGTGAGAATTTTGGGCCGGCGATTTTTGGTGGGGGACCGCTGCTTATGTACGCCACCCGTTGCCACCATATTGTTCAGGTAGATAATGGGGAGTACCAGCCTACCCAGAGTGTTCTGTGTTCCAAGAGTTTATATGTGGATTAATTGGTTTATTTACTTGATTTGATATAAGGACAACCTGTTTGCAAAAAGATCGGATTGAATATTAGCATATAAACACTCTGTGCTTTATGCTGCTATATATATTGCTATGCTACTCCGAATTCAGGGTAGGGAAACTAAATAACAGGATGCTCATACATCATTTCTATTCGAACCACACTTGTCATATGTACTTTTAACAACTACAAATTAAAACTAGAATTGCATATGAAGTATGTTCCTCAACCACTTCATAACCGCCTCGACCTGGTTCGTTGACCTCCCCAAAACATCCTCCGCCAACACAGAAAATCGTTCCATGGTAGCCTGTGCAGTACCGGTATCAAGCGAAGAAGGGTCGTACAGATCCCTTGAGACCAACATCCTGTGCAGATATCTCGCACCTCGGGCCACCAAACGACTCAAAATGTCACCGTCAACATGCATCCGGGAGGGAGATGACTCAACAGACTCGCTTTCCACGGGGTTGCGCAGACGCTTGCGTTTTGGCGTAAATGGGCAGATACGGGGGTCCTTCTCGCACATATTCTGCAGGAGACGAAGTAGTCGCCAGTCCTTCTCCCCCAGAGTCAAGAATCGGTATGTGGTGCCGTTGATTGTGCTTCCGTAGAGCACTCGCGAAGAAGAGTTCAGAGGAGACAGCTTGGAACCAAGACTCAGTTTCATCACAGACAGTGGAAGGTGGGCCTCACATAGAGAATGTGGCATCATCTTGTCTGTTTCTGTGACTCCGTTCTCTGTTAACACGCTGACAGTGCCGCCTCTGCTACTGGCAACGGTGAGGTTCAGTGGCCCGCCAATGTGGACGTGAGATAGCCCATCATGCCGGTGACGATCGTACGCATACATATTCAATTTGTCATCAGAAGCCTTGAGCACCATAAGCGACTCTCTTGCAGTCGATAGGTACACATACGGCTCGTGTGCTGATATAGAGATCGCAGGCGATACTGTTGAGTACCTTGCAGCCCGACCCCATCGTGTCCGGGAGAACTTGGGCTCCAATGGGATAATCTCGTGGCCAGATGAGACCATCAACGTAAATGGGCCATATGGTGTAATGGCATATACTGGCCCCTCGAACTTGTGCACATATTTGACAGAGCATTCGATTTGGGACGGATTAGATGTATCCCGGGACGTCTGCAGAAATATGACCCGGCCTCGTTCCTGCTGATTCTTGCGGGCCGTCCCGATAACGATAAGATGGTATTCTTCATCTCCCTTTCGAGGCGTCCATTCAAGAATGCAAGTGATCTTCTCGCCAGCTGCTCCTTGTGGTCTCCAAGTTTGGGATACTTCTTCCGTGCTAGGCAAGCTGATTGCTGAGTCTTGGAAGTCTGGATCAATAAAATCAACCATCGGACGCGTGAAACGTTTGACAGGATCCAGGCTTGTATCAAGTTCAGTCTTGGTATAGGACACAATCAGACTCTTCAAATGTTTTGAATAAGCCAGCCTGTTGGCACTTCCTGGAAGATTGATTCGTCGCGGAATTGTCTTCGACTCGCGGTCCAGTGTACAGATAAACAATTGTTCATCTGCAACGCAGAACAGCGAATTGAAAGCGTCATCCATATTCGGATTGACAATATTGCTAGTCGTAAATCCGTAGATAGTCTTTGGGTAGTAGGCAGGCTGAAAGAAAGTCAGGCACCGTGACAAATACAGGAAGCCATGAAGACTTACGTTGTTTTGGTCAGTGATCCAAACCCGTTGAAGAGTGTACTCAAGTAGCTCTCCATCTTCGACACATGAGACCTGCCAGAAGCCCTCTCCACATGTCAGTAATGCAGCATTTCCCTTGCTCTGCACTTTGACGGAGGTGTGCCCAAGTCGTTGTGGGGTTCCTTGCTTCATGCCTAAATAACAAGACCAAGTTAGTTAATGTAATGAATGTGATATTAGACGCACAGGGCTCACTGATGGGCGAGTTAAAGTTGTCGTTATCGACAGTTACCCCGAAAGAAACCAGGATTCCACTTCGTAGACCGCAGAATAGAATAACCCTTTCTAACGAGTCATCTGTGGCAATGCTTATGATCGCAAGGCTCTCAATAGCCTTGGAAATGTCGACACTCTCTTCCACATTGATATCTATACCAGTCACGAGAGTAATCGTGTCCTCTATAACGCGGTAGATCAACAACTTTCCACTACCCGTCCCTATGAAAACGAAGCAAGAAAATCCAAGGCGCTCAATGGACATAGAAACCGGCTCATGGTTGATATCGATCTGTGTACCAGTGCCAGACAGCTGATGTTGGCTATCCGCCGAGTTTATCCGAATGAGGTGAAGTTGTGACCCCTTATGTGAGCGAATAACAGTCGCAACCAACCCGGCCGACTCATTGATAGCTGCAGCTGCAACACTCTCAGACTGGCCATAATCATGGCGGACACCCGGAAATCCAGCAACAGTTCCAAGACGCACTGCTCTTTCAGTTACTTGAACAATGGCGCCAGACTGTGTGCAGCCTGCCGCCAAAGTTTGGCAGGAAAAGTCCAAGCCCGATTCTTCCTCGTCGACGGCGCAAATCTCCTCACCGAAATCAGCGGGCATATAGATCAGAAGTGATGAAACTGGATCAGTGGTCAGAATACAAACGCCCCCGTTTACATCATCTGCCATAGTCCATATGTCCCTTGTGCTGGACAGCCCCTCCAGCGCCACTGCCAGGCCAATTTGCGCCTCTATTCCATATCGAATCTCAGAGACCGCACCTTTCCCAAATGTGGATGCAGAGCATACAAATAATCGGTCGCTAGCAACGTCTGTCGCCAAGGAATAATGAGCTGTGGACTTGACGACCACAGAATCTGTCACCGGGGTCCAATTCATGAACTTTTGGACACATCGCGGGTGGTCCCGCGCTTTTTGCACGAATAATCCACCATCGCCCATATTCCCTGCAGCTAGCAGAAGATCACCACCCTCATGCCCAATATCAAGTGTATCAAAAGCCGCATCCACGTCGCAGTGAAGCAATCCGAGGAAGGTTTGGTTCTCGATCTCACCCTCGTTTCCAATTTCAAGGTAAAAGATCCTTCCATCCTCACGGCACAGGTAAATATCGTCATGTTTTTGATTGTAAATCCAGTTGCGTAAAGGTCTCGCCCATCGAGTCCAGAGAGGTGACCGTTGGGCTTGCTTATCACAGAAAGGCAAAGGGTACCGGCTAGGTTGCCTGCGAGGATCCAGCCTGTTCTTGTAGACCGCCATCGAGCTAGGGGTTACGAGCATAAATGACGAAGTTTTGGTCAATGGGATAACCATGGTAGGAAGCCTGTCCTCGAACGGTAATAGTCTCCGGGTAAGCCGTGGTGAAGCATTTCGTAGAGAGATATTCGCATCCCACTCGTAGCAGATGGCATGGGTAATTTGATTTTGGGCAATTAAGAGCAGCAGAATGATCTTGTTCTCTCCTTCCGATTTGGGATATAAGAATTCCATAAATAGTATGTCGCCGTCGACATGGAAGAACCGCTCCTGTGGCGGAAGCGATATTAGACCCATGATTGATAAAGGATGGTGGCAGAGTCATCCAAGACAAACCTCTAGTATTGGATCCAATTGATTGTTGGTCATCTGGGACTGGAGAACTGGTGGTTCTTTGAGCATGAAGATCCCGAAGTAATCGCACGAGGCACTGACTGCTATTGCACGAGACCTGGGGAAGGAATGCTGAGCGACGTTCTTATTAGACAAATCCAAAGAAGGCTTACCTTGGCTCCACGGCGACATTCCGCCCAAACTGCTCGAACAAGTTGACATCGTTGGGCAGAGGCCGTCGATAACAGACAAATTGGCCCTCGCCAGCCATCGAATAATAAAGAAAAACAAGCTCTCTCGAGGCAAGGCTCAGGACCAAAACCTGGGGAGGCAAATCATCCTGAGGCTTGTTCGTGGCTAAATGACCAGCACCCTGTTTCATCTGAGTTTCCCATGGCAGTTCCGTGCCCACGTTAATCACCTTCGCGGCCATGATTTGGGCATCAAAGTCAGATTTCGAGGTGACATCCTCCAAATGGATACCTGATACGGCCTCTCGAATCTGTATGTGACGATCACCGACGAAGACCACATCGTTGTGTCGCTGACTCCGCAGGTGTGCAGGTAGGATCCATTGAATGGTTGGACTAGGCACTACCGTATGTGAAAGCAATCCAACCCTTGGCTTAGAGGGAATGGACAACTGCCCCATTTCAGACTCTCGTTGTCTAACGAACTCCCTAATCTCATCTGGGGCATTGGCCATAGGGATATCTGGATCTTGGTGGGATGTCATGGTGTCCTATCAAGTGAAAAGAGGAAAAAAAAAAAAAAAAAAAAAAAGGAGCTGATCTTTTCACGGCCAATAATGTGATGCTGATTGTCCAAAATGAAGAGATGATAAAATCAGAGCGGTTCATCAATGTTCACCCACGAATAGCAACAATGACGAGAAGAAAAGGAAAATCTATAGCGAAAGTAAAACCGAGAAGCTCTTTTTAATCATGGTTAGGGCGGTATGAACACGATTCTTCCATGGATGACGCTGCTAATAAGCCAATTGTCACGTTAAGGTTCAGCAAAGGCGAAAGGGCACTTTAGAGTCGCTGGGCTTATTCCAACCCCACTTCCAGGTCACGAGAATGCAATATAGACGCTTAGCGCAGGAGAGAGAAGTGCCTATAGCCAATGTTAGATTATGCTCTGTGAGCTGCGAAGCTTCAATCTATAGACCTCTAACCTTAGTAAAGAACGACTAGCAACACTGCTAGACTTAGGCCTTGAACTGGTAGGTGGGATGTATATGCCAGACGCCAATGTTCAATAACACGGTTTCGGGGCCGTTCCCAATGCTGCTCAAAATAGGAAATGGTGACTTCGATGACAAGTCTTGAAAACGGAACAAGCCCTAGAAACGTCGAGCTTCAATTTTGTATATGCGCCTCTGTATTCAGGCAGCTTTAACGGATGGTCTTGCAACGGTCGTTTCTGTTGTGCAATTACAACCCGGATGTGTATGTCCAACTAACCGTCAAGCACTTGAATGTAGAAACCGTTCTCTCCAATACTATCTCTTTCTTTTTGCCTCGAGGGAAAGCTGAGCTGAAGCCGAAACGTGCGAATTGACTTGTTTGTTGGGCGGTCGGCGTTCGTAGCAATCACGGGGCAGTTCTGGCCTGAGGCATAAAGTAACCCCGTTTCGGCGATGAAGTGGCCAAGAACTTCCATCAACCTCGCCTTTGCCAGATAACAAATCAGAAAGTCACACAACAGACTGTTGAGACATTACAAATTATTGTCTTAGGATTCTGGGAGCCTTTTTTCCTGTGCACAGGTTGAAAGAGAGGAAGGGGAAAAATCCTTTGTCGAATATTCCATACCGTGGAGGCTGCTCCATATACTATCTGTCCAATGCATGAATGAGGAACGAGCCTTAAAAAGACAGTTGTCACCACAAAACAGGCCAGAAATTTAACTTCTGGCGCTCAATATTTGATATTATATCAACTTGTGGCAGCAATGGATCTATCTACAGCAGCCCATGAGAATGACAACGGTACAGAAAAGGCCATTATCCATGAAGAATCAAAGCACCTTATTGACGCGCAGGACGAAGAACCTGTAATATTACAGAAGGAGCAAGACAAATGTCACCTGGCCGAGAAGGCAGATGCCATCCGGAGAGCATGCGACTTGGGGGACCTAGACGCATTGGTTTCACATGCGAAATCAGAAGGTGGCTTCCTCCGGGATGACCTGCGTCAGTTAGCATGTAAGTTGGCTCCTGTCACTATGGTGCGACGAAGTAAAAGATGGTAACATGTCTCAGGGCCAATTCTTTTACGATGCCAGCAAGACAAACGAGATGGTGATAAGGATTGGAACGAATCGCCACGACATGCAGATGAAGACCAGGTTCAACTGGACGTGCACAGGTCATTTGTCTATTACCCTAGCGGTTAGTGTTAAAGTATTTGGTATCAAGGTTTCAGATATGACAGACTAACCGGAAGTTTAGGCACCAATGAAGAATTGTCCAAAAAGAAAGACGAACTATCAAATGTGATCACAAACGTGCTACGGAACTATCCATATCTTTGCTATTTTCAGGGATATCATGACATTGTACAAGTCTTGCTTCTAGTACTGGGAGAAAAGCAAGCAGTACCAGCAGTTACCCAAATCTCTCTCTTTCGGATACGAGATTACATGCTTCCATCGCTCAATCCGTCTTTGAAACACCTGCAGATTATTCCAGCGATCATTGAACGAGCGGACCCAGGCTTGCGACAGCATCTTTCGGACGTCAGACCATTCTTCGCCCTCGCAGCTATGCTTACGTTATATGCGCACGATATCCAAGAGTACGGCGATATCGCCCGTCTCTTCGACTTCCTCCTCGCACATGAACCTGTCGTCCCGACCTACCTTTTCGCAGCGATTATCCTCTCCCGCAAAAAGGAACTGCTGGATATTCCGGTGGATGAGCCGGAGATGATGCATTTCACTCTTTCCAAACTTCCAAGTCCATTAGACCTTGACGATTTGGTACAGAGTGCTGTGCAGCTCTTCAACGACTATCCACCCGAGTCACTGCCTTTTGGAGTCTGGAAGCAAATTCCGGCATGCAGTGTGCTGAAGAGCTCTCGAAATCCTTTCCGGAAGCAGAAAGCAGAGAATGCGGTAAAGCTATTTGGTCAGCAAACGCGGCAACTTCGTAACGATGAACTGAAAAAGAAAGCACTTGGGCTCTTGTGGACACACAGAAAGGCCATTGGCTCTGTTGCCGTCGCCGTCTTCGTTGGTGCTGTGTCTATTTGGATACGGAAGAAAGGATTTGACGCATCGATCTGGTCATACATGGACAACTTCAAGGCGGCTTTTGAGGATCGCTTCTTCTAAAATAGCCCACTTAATTTCTCTTATCGAACTAAAACATGTCAAGATGGCCGGACTGTCCGTTTTATACAGCGGGACCATGTAACATATAGGCGTGATAAGATAGCAACATAATAAAAGTGTTTACTAATTGCTCTGAATCCGGGCATTCTATAGATCAAATAAACATCAAACTCATGAACGACTATGTGAAGCCGTTAGAACTCAAATTTCCGCATCCGGTATGATAGTCTCCACATTGTGGCTGGTGGGTGTGGCTGATAACGGCACGCGCTGATGTGTACTCTTACATCTTCCCCGTACCACAGCCCTCCCCTCCCATACTATCAATCGCTTTGTCGCTACATTAACATCCAAGAAAAAACAGCCAACATGGCGAATCGGGGATATGATGTCGTTGTAGATGTGGATGCAGAGGTAAGTCAAACTGCATTGTTCGTTCTTGAACGAATAATCTCTGATACCAGATTTATATCCAATAGGGCGACCTCGGGCATACAGATCTCCAAGATGACCTTGAATTCCATCCATCCAGTACGTCACTATTCCCTCGATCGCACTCAAGAACAGAACTAAAAAAAACCCACCTCCCCCCGTGAACAGACTTCGAAAACGACCAACGTAACGCAAAAGCCCAACAAGACACTGCACCATTCCTCGGCGGAGCAGGCCCCTCGCACTCGCACGGCCGCGACAGGTCCCCCGGTGGTAGCGCCTCCAAGCACCGCTGGTGGTCACTTCACTACTACGCGCAATTCTTTGACGTTGACACGAACGAGGTCCTACGCCGCTGCGTCGCCGCAGTCTACCCGCGCACCAACTTTCTTGACGTCCTTGAAGGCAACGCAGACCTGTATGGACCGTTCTGGATCGCTACAACAGTGGTTGTGATTCTGTTCCTAACGGGTACGATCTCTCAATGGCTTTCGAATAACGATGACCAGCATTTCGAGTACGATTTTACGCTTCTTTCGGGCGCGGCCGGTTTGATCTATGGGTATACGGGTGTTGTGCCTATTGCGCTGTGGGGGGCTCTACGCTGGTTCGGTAGCTCCACTGCGGATCTGATTGAGTGTTGGGCTTTGTATGGATACTCGAATTTGATTTGGATTGCTGTCGCGCTGGTCAGTTGGAGTCCGTTGACGGCGTTGAATTGGGCTCTTGTTGGTGTTGGGTTCGGTTGGACGGTGTTCTTCTTGCTGCGCAACTTATGGCCCGTCCTGAGCGCTACAGATGCCAAGGCGAGCAGGGCTCTGCTGATTTTGGTTATTCTGCTACATGCGGGTCTGGCGATTGCCATAAAGATCCTCTTCTTTGCGTGGGTTTCCTAACGCTTCCTGCCTGTTGGAGTACAGAAGCTAATGACTATTTAAATCGCAGCCATGGAAGCCCCGTCTCCAAGAAGAACAAGCAGCATGATGATGACCATGATGACGATAAGAAGCGGATGTTTATGATGTAAGGTACCAGCGGAGGATGTCACTGTCACAGTTCCAATGGTTTCTGGATTTTTTTTTTTTTTTTTTTTGCGTCCATTGACTTCTTGCTCAGGTAGCAAGTTGTTCATCATGTTTGCTGGTTTCATAGTGTACCTGTACCTATCTTAGGAAGAAAATGAAGAGCGCAATGAAGTTTTTTTTTTTTTTTTTTTTACAATGTATTCAATTGCAAAACGTTGCGAGGAGAAGTCAAGTAATAAGTATTTGACTTGGGCTATAACATTTCATCATATCAACGCCTTTTTTATTCTCCCAGGTTGCAATGAATACATGGCCACCAGGCAACATTCCCAGCAACGCAGAAAAACCGTAACAACAACGAATCGTTTACTTGAGCTTCTTCTTGGGGCGGAGCTGGTTAGTGTGACCGCACTTCTTCTTACGGCAGTTGGTAGCACGAGGGGGGAGACGGGCCTAGTAGTTGGACAAGTCAGCAACCAATTTCAAGATATGAAAATTCCGGGGATCCGAAAGTCGTTCAGATGGTCGGAAGGTGGAAACGTACGTAGCACTTGCGGCAGATGGACTTTTCGCAGTTGTACTTGGAGGCGAGAGCCTTGAGGGAGGGTTCGATGATACCACCACGGAGACGGAGGACAAGGTGAAGGGTGGACTCCTATAAATTCGCAAAAAGCATGCGTCAGCCAATCGATTCCATCAAAGTCAAATATATCCTATCTCTTCTTTCACAAAACGCGACCGTTCCGATGAATTCGAGTCGTGGCGAAATCGCGCATTTATATCCCGTATATCCGCATTGTTCAAGGGAAATCCGTACCTTCTGGATGTTGTAGTCGCTCAGGGTGCGGCCATCCTCAAGCTGCTTACCAGCGAAGATCAGGCGCTGTTGGTCCGGGGGGATACCCTCCTTGTCCTGGATCTTGGCCTTGACGTTGTCGATGGTGTCGCTCGACTCGACGTCGAGAGTGATGGTCTTACCCGTCAGGGTCTTGACGAAACTGCGATTCAGAAATCATGTCAGTGACACTGTCCTTCCTTCCGTTTCGAATTTTATCCATGGCATCTTTTCGTTCGGTTCGATTCTTATTGCCGAGCGGACCGGTTTCGATGGGCTTGGAAGGGGGGTAGAAAATAACCTACATCTGCACTGTAAAATCCGGGAAAAACAGATAGTCAGTTCATCTCTCTCTATAACAAACGGGAACCGTAAAAAGGCACTTCATTATACGTACTGGTTGCGATTTTTCGTTGTTGCTGGCTGACGATCGCTGGAAGGTCGGGCGTCGTAGAGGCACTGGTAATTTGAGGGAATTCTCGCTTAGCAAGGGTGGACCGACTTGGTGATACCCTAAGCCCTATGCCGCTTCCGTTTTGATACCGCCCCGACGCAAGTGCCATTTTGGGCTTCTCCACAGTTTCCATACTCCGTGTCTTTATCTTCAACATGATGCATGGCGTTGATGGTGATCGATAAGGTTTTGGTTCGATGTTCCTGACATGGAATCGCTAAAGATGAGTACCTTTGGTGAAAACTCTTGGTGCTCTATTCATATCTATTCGTCAATATATCCTGCTTCTTCTATGTCGTCTACAACAGCATCCCCCGGGAATTCCATGTTCATTACTTCCCCATAATATTCCATACGTCTCCGGTCCTCCTGCCAATGGCCCATCCTAATTTCTGCCTGGAATACGGTCTTGACAAGAGTTGACAGGGGGATTCCGACCACCTTTGCTGCCGTTTCGTAGAAAGGCCTCACCGTTTCGGGTAGGTCAGTGTCCAGTCGATAACGAGGGTATAATGAACCCGGGCGCAGAACTTCGCTTCCCGGGTCTGCGACAACCTTCATGCTCTTCAACTGGCGCGTCACAGTTTCTAGCATTGAGTCCAACGACGCTTCATCGTCTGCTTCTGACGGCGGTTCAGTGGGCTGGCTTTCCACGCCCGTCGGGCCGAGCGGAAACAAATCTGCCAACGTATTGGTTCCTATCCAAGGCCAGAGTTAGTCGAGACTGAGGACACAGAATTGCTGATGAGCTTACCTTTGCTGCCATCCAGCCAACTATTCTCGTACCAATTTAGGTACTCATCCAACTGATCCGGTGTCATACTGAACACATCTTTCTCGTTAACCAGGACCTCATTACCTTTCCCAATTCTGCCACTAGATATCTCCCGATTATCAAAGTGTCTTTGAACCTGCGCCCAGAGCTGCCAATCAATCGTCTGAGTGCTCGGTTCTCTAGCTGATTCAGGGTATCGTTTCACATAATCGAATGGGAAAAGAAGCTTGGTACTAATGACAATGAGGGTCATCATTTGCACCTCAGGGAGGTGAAGAGACCGTCTTTTGCCGGCGATAGTTGTTGGGTAACTGAAGGTGAACCCAACGAGTTTCTGTAGCTGCTTTACAGCGGGGTATATATCGACTGTTGTCGCATTAGCAGTAAAAAAAAAAAGTTAAAAGTAATGAGACGTACTTGGAAGAGTAAGTCTTTTGATAAGTCGAAAGAGTAGAAGTGGAGCGTTCAGAGGTGGGAAATGCATGCTGGATCGACGGTGATAGAATAGAATCAATTCCAACGCAGCCCTGTGGAAATGCTCTGCTTTTGGTAATCTCTTTATATTGTCAGAGAAAACATCCTTCATGGGATATCTCAGTACCATGGGATCATACCGTGGTCTCGAGGAGCGATAAGTACTCCTGCGGAAGCTTGTCTCGCATTTCCCGTGGAATGGTCTTGATTATCCTAAAATATGGAACGTCTCCCTGCATCACCATCCTAAGATTTTGTCAGAAAGTAGTCCATCCACAGATTCAAGCAAGGTTTTACCTGTGGAAGTCGGCTATGCCAATAGGCAACCTCATCAAGAGAGCCCCCATGTAACAAAGAGCAATGGAGTCAACCAATCGAGGCCATTGAACGCGATTCCCATTGGGTTTGAAAGCCTTATCAGATTCATCCTCAGTATCTGCGGCTTGCGAACTGAAGACTTCCGGTTCTTCGGTCTCCGTCTCGGACATATTACTGTTGATTTTGCTAGAAAACCCTTCTAAACGGAGAGCCCATAGGTCGCGAATGACATTCTGCAAGCTTATTAGTTTTGACTTTTGATCATTTTACTCGGATGTATTCTTGGTGACATACCTCGAACTCAGCAGGAAAGCCCCGGTCGTGAACTAAGGCATGGCATTGCTTCCACAGGATCAACTGGTATATTTGCAAAAAGAGACTATATGCCCGCTGGCCCCGGTATGCTATTCATAAATTAATTCATTGCTGATCAAAATAAAACAAGATACTTGACGAACTCTTCTGGCCCTTCTCAACGATATCTTTCTTCACGCGGTGCGCCCTACCCTGCGTCCCATAATCTTCCGGATCTTCTTCGACTTGTCGACCCTACATAAAGCCAAGTCAATCAGCATTCAATTATTTTCGATGGCAGTCGTCAGAACTAAGATCTGATATGGATGTACCTCTTGCTGGTGACCCCGCCGGCAGAACCAAAGCCCGTTGTCGAGATAATATCGTCTCTCACGGCACCCTTCCTGCCCACAGACCCCTCGAGTGATAGTGTATTCCATTTAGGGCACAGTGGGTCATGATATCTGGATATTAGACATCCAGTATGTGGTGGTGAGTACTATGCAGTCTGTGATAGGTTGGCGTCCGGAAAGAATTTTTTCCTATACGCCTGAACCGGTGTATGGCCCTTTGCCACAGAAACAGAGGAAGGTTAAAATAGGGAAGGAATTAAAAAAAAATCTTTTAAGAGTACGTGTATAGATAAGCCTTCTATAAATACTTTATACTCGTTTAAGCCAATCATAACCGCGCGATTGCTCAACCTCGACCATTCTACGGGGTCTGGGGTATACGAAGTATATATCTACAGATATTGAACTTGGGGAGTTCGTTGAATGATTTTATTGTTCGTCAAAAACTCGTGAACTCAGAACTATTCCTCTGACAACGCACGCTGATGCTGCCAACAGAAAAAAGCAACTCTTTTTTAATCCTTTGTCGCTTCAATGCACATCCAAGGCTATTATTATAGGATACGATTTACGCAACAGACATGCCGCTGACTGCCCAAAAGGGTCGTAATCCACAAACTTGAGGACATAACTTGACGAAAGTCCATTGGAAGACAAAGTTCGACAAACGAATAGATCCGTAAGAAATCGTAGGGAAGTTTAAATCTTAGGAGCCTCCTTGGCGTCCATGCAGCACTCCTCACCCATGGAAGTCAAGATGGTGACGTCTGAAGAAAGAATCCGGGTCAGATACTGAGCCGAAGAGGCGAAAAGTCAAGTTACTTACTGAGGTCCTTCTCCTCCTCACGGAACAACTTCTCGATCCTGCCACCAAGCTCACCCTCAGGGAGCTTGACGTCGTCCTTGGTGTCACCGTCATCCTTCATAAGAGAGAGGAAACCGTCGTCGGTGATGTCGAGCTACATGAGTCATTAGTAAGCTGCAAAGTTGGATGACTCTTTCTACCGGGATAACTCACGAGCTGGTATTCCTTGCGGGAGACCTTGGGAACGTCCATGTTGTGGGTAGAGGGAGACAGATCTTCGAGCTTCTTGCCAGTGAAGATGTCGAGGGCGACCAAGTGGACCTTGGCGTGACCGTGCTTGCCAGTCTTGGAGGTGGACATTTCGACAATCTTGCAGGGACGGTTCTTGATGACAACGTGACCGTTCTTACGCAGAGCAGAGCACTGCATGGGGAAGGTGGTCGACGCGCCAGCGTCGGCGGACTCGAAGGTCTCGTGCTATAACCATACATATCAGTTTTCTGAAATTCTGAATCGATACAATGCTCTTCCAATTCTCGTCCATCCCACGATATTGAGAGAGAAGGCATTTCCTCTGATGCCCCCCCTCTCTCTCTATGTGTGTACAAAAATCTTCCCAGGCTCAGAAGGGCCAAGAATAGGAGGGGAAGATGATGCGGGGCTCTAACGAGAGCACAGGGAAAGAAATTCCACCAAGGAAACCAGAATTCCAGGTCAAGTACATACCTCGTCAGACATTGTGAAGGTTGGTATTTGTAGATTTAAAGAAGGTTATAAAAAGGAAGAAGAAAGATGGCAGTGACTTGGGATATCAAAAAGAGAGCGGAGGAGGTTAAAAATTAAAGGGAAAAAAATCGACAAATCGACTAGGCGGTTTTTGTTGTGGCGGGGTTTTTTTGGCCTGCTAGCCTGATATGGCATAGCGTCGGGAAATTGATGATCCGTATATTCTAGTCCCGTGACGAATGGCCGTACAGTTATTGTACAGTAGTAGAAAGCTCTATGTGCTTGTGTTGATTGTCTTGCTGTTTCGCGTGCTGATTCGCTGCATAGCTGCTATTATAACCCCCTCCAATGAAAGTGTCCACATTTCTGCGGACACGGGGTAGTACGATCGGTCAATTGCGTCTCAAATGAGACCGGGGAAATCTGTCCGGTACCTGCACGCTTCCCCGTACTGGCCTTGCTTCCATTATGTGGCTCGACCGCATCTCAGGCAATTCGACTCCCTCTGGACCTGGGTTCGATAGTCGCGGCAGTTCTCCTATTCCTCGAAGGCCCTCTCACCTGTCTCCGGTACCGCAGAACAACCGACCGGGTTCGAATCGGCATGGCTCGTCCTTATCAGTGTTGTTGACCCCGAATGATTCGAATACATCCCTTCCTGCAACGGCGCGTAATGCAAACGGACGATTGAATGCGACCAAAACGTGTCCCTCCGATGTTATTGATCCGCTCGAAGTCCTGAACGGTATCCTCAGCAAACGAAAAGGGGAGAGCCCTGATAAGGCGACGGCATTGGACCCGGAGGCTAAGCCGTCACAGCTGGCAGAGACAATTGACTTTGGGGAACTTAGCCTTGAGGAATTTGTCGCAAAAGAGGACGAACGCCAACCGAGGAGGATCCAAAACACCGATGCTGGGGCTCAGACGATCGAGCAATTCGAGGAGGAAAGGGACAAGTTTCAGGAACTACACTCAGCGATCACTGGCTGCGACGATGTATCAAAGTCGGTGGAAACGTATCTGAGCGATTTCCAGAGCGAATTAGGGAGTGTCTCTGCGGAAATCGAAACCCTCCAGACTCGATCCATACAGCTGAATGCCATGCTGTCAAATAGGCGGAACGTAGAACAGCTTATGGGGCCCGCTGTAGAGGAAATCAGTATTTCACCAAAAGCGGTTCGACTAATTGCAGAAGGTCCAATCGATGACAACTGGGTCAAGGCTCTCAACGAGATTGAGACTCGAGCCGCAAGTATAGAGGCAAAAGCATCCAGCTCCAGCAGCACCAAATCCATCGATGATGTTCGTCCGCTTCTCAGCGATCTCAAGAGCAAGGTAATTTTTTTTCTGCTCTATTCATGATAATAACTAATACTCATGTCTTGCAGGCAGTCGAGAGAATCCGAGACTACCTTGTTTCCCAGATCCGGGCGTTGCGGTCACCTAATATCAATGCTCAATTAATCCAGCAACAGCGTCTGGTTAGGTTTAAGGACCTATACAGCTATTTATCAAGAGCTCACCCGACACTCGCAGGTGAGCTCACGCAGGCGTACACCAACACGATGCGGTGGTATTACTCGTCGCATTTCAACCGTTACCTTCTAGCACTCGAGAAGATTAAGATTTACCCTAGCGATCGAAACGATGTTCTTGGAGGAGACCCCTCAGCGCAAAGGACAGGAAATATCATTACTGGTGGCCGAGCTGGATCTGCGGCACACGACCCGTTTTCTTTAGGACGGAGGGTTGACATTCTCCGGAACGGCAACCCCATGGCCATTTCCTCCTATGTGGCTGAGGAGGATTATGCTTTCCATGGGATAGAGGTTCCTTTCCGCAACTTCAACCTTGCCATCTTGGACAACGTTTCTGCTGAGTACTCGTTCATGGCCGAGATGTTCTCCGCATTGACTTTCCACCAAATTACCCGCAAGGCCATGGAGATCTTTGAACCTGTTTTCGCCCTTGGCTACGGCATGACAAAACAATTAATCGAACAGACTACAGATTCGTTGGGCGTTCTGTTGTGTGTCCGCCTCAACCAACATGCGGCTTTTGAATTGCAGCGGCGCAAAGTCCCCGTTTCCGATTCATATATCAACGGCATCAACATGCAGCTGTGGCCACGCCTCCAGGTAATTATGGATGCTCACTGTGAATCTCTCAAACGAGTGGCGGCGAACACGGGTCGAAGTGCCGTGTCGGCCCTCTCCCTCGCAGGTGGCGATGACTTGAGCCGCTCAACAGCGCCTCATTTTCTTACACAGCGATTTGGCCAGCTGGTGCATGGGATTTTGGTGCTCAGCAGCGATGCTGGGGATGATGAGCCGGTGTCCAACAGTCTGAGGCGTCTGACTGCTGAGTTCGATTCGCTTCTTGCGAAGTTGAGCCGGACTGGCGGAGACACGAAACGAAGAGAGCGGTTCCTTTATAACAATTATTCTTTGATTCTAACCATTATTAGTGTATGTGTTGCAGCAATTAGCCCTGGTTCTCTTTAAGATGCTAACTAATGACACAGGATACCCAAGGCAAACTAGCGGCTGAGCAGAAACAGGTAAGCAGTCTTTGCCCATCGATCTTCGTCCGTTTCGGTGTTGACCCTATTAGCATTTGGAGCAGATGCTCAAGAATTCTGGGAAGCGCGGTTAGAGCGTATACCCTGACTTTCTTCTTCCAAGACATCCGATTTTGTCTTTAGCTATCGGCTTACATTCATTGATAGATTTCTATATTTAGCGATAATACTGGTATTGTTGTAAATATCGATCCCGTACCCCCGCACAAGGCACAAGGCGTTGAAGCGGGATGGCAGTGTCCAATCATCATATAACTACATTTGCAAAAACAGCGAATTTTCCATACAGTTTTATCCCAATTGCGCCCCTGGTACGGAGTAGAAAGTAGTTATCTGGCGGAGCGCCGCCTTATCAATGGGTCCCCGATGTCGCCATTGCGGGGAGCAATAACATCTACTGCGTTTTTCCGTACAAATGAAGTTTTTTTCAAGATTCCTCATAACCACGGATCTTGTGCAAAAGAACTTACATCCTCTAAGAATGGCGACTCGTGCCTGTCTTTCAGTTCCCCGGTCGCTCTCTTCGCGCCGCTGTTTTTCCAGCACAAGAGCGGCCGCTGCGGACGTCACTCATGCGGTACCTATCTCCCCTCTTCTTATCGTTTCCCAACGGATACAGTCAAATTTGATTCCCCAACATCGCATGCAAACATGCGCTTATACTTGAAAGGTTATTGGGGCAGGTGTTGTAGGTCTCGCAGTCGCGCGCCAGTTGGCCGCGAGAGAAGGGTCGTCGACTATTTTACTGGAGCGACATGATGCGCCTGGGACGGAGACGAGCAGTCGGAATTCGGAGGTCAGTTCTCCCTTTCTTTGAACGACTTATATAAAAAACGTAAACACATACTAAGTTGGGTTTTTGGCAGGTCATCCACGCCGGCTTGTACTACGGAGCCGACTCCCTCAAGACCAAGCTATGCATTGAAGGGAAACAGATGATGTACGACCTTTGCGCGAAACGCGGCATCCCACACAGCAACACTAAAAAATGGATCGTCGCGCAAACCGACGAACAGTGGGAAGCCTCCCTCCGCGTTCACGAACATGCGCAGACCATTGGCGTCCCGACACGAATCGTGGGCCGCGAAGAAGCGCAGAGACGAGAACCAGAGGTCCGCGCAGAGGCAGGTATTGTCGAAAGCCCGACAACGGGAATCGTCGACAGTCACTCACTGATGACCTTCTTGCAAGGGGACATCGAGGACCGGGGAGGTGACTGCGCGTTCCTGACGAGTGTGACTGGGATCGAAGCGTTAAATGGTGGTCAGGATGGGTACAAGATTACGGCTGTGTCGCCGGATGGGGAGGAGACATCTATCACAGCGGAGACGTTGGTGAACAGTGCGGGAAACTCTGCGTGCCGGATTAACAATATGATTTTGCCGGAGGAACGACACCGGATTCCCTACTATGCTAAGGGGACGTATTTCTCCTACTCTGCCTCACAACCAAAGACGTCTGTCCTAGTTTATCCGGCTACTTTGCCTGGCACTGGCGGTTTGGGCACCCATCTTACATTAGACATGGGAGGTCGCATTCGCTTTGGCCCTGATGTCGAATGGGTGGACAATCCGACCGATTTGAGACCTAGTCCAGCACGACTCCAGCAGGCATTATCTGAGATCCTGTCCTATCTTCCTCGCGTCAACCCGGAAGCGATTGATCTAGATTACTGCGGGATTCGGCCTAAACTGGGTCGCGGCGGCGCGGTGAATACAGGAAAGGGCTTTTACGACTTCATTATTCAGGAGGAAGAGGGCTTCCCTGGGTTTATAAACTTGCTGGGAATTGAGAGTCCGGGATTGACGAGCTCTCTTGCTATTGGAAAGATGGTCGATGGTCTTCTGTATAGATAGATGGTGGCTTCTTGGCTGTATATATCCTATTGCTACTTTGTAAATAAAATCTGTCTAACAGCACAGGTTTTTCCAGGGACTTTTAATAAGTGACTATTCCAAATACCATAAATTGTGATCATTGGAATGGCATGCTAGTTTGTGAACGACGGGTACCTGCCTTAGCAGAGTCTTCTATAAGCGCAACAAATATTCCCCTCGATTCCATCCTCCTTTCATCTCTTTTCTCGCCCCTTCAATTAGATTAATTGAACCTATCTTCATTATCGTCTCTTTTCGTTTACCGCTTGGCAGGGTTAAAAACCCTATCAATTGGGCTGTAGGAAGCATCCATCAATACAGTAAGTTTTTACTACCAATGAGGCAGCTTCCAGGCTATTTTATCAACTAAAAGCTCAAAATCGTTCTCCTAAAGGACTTGAGGTCTATACTCTGGCCTACTTTCATGGCTTCTATCTTGCTGATCAGTCTTTCTCGTTTTACGTTAAGAATCCACAACTGTGAGTCTGAGATCAAGAGCTTTTCTGTGACTACAGAGAGAGAAGAATGATAATAAAAAGGAAGCTTGTCGTGCTTCTGGTGAAATAGTGGTAAGTACCAACCTTTTCAATACCGCCACTTACAGTTAATATAATCTCAGTTTTAATCAGACCAGAACAAGAAAGGTTACTACCAGTTGCTATGGAACCTCACAGCATCGATGACAACAGTACCGCTACCAATGGCAATGGCAACCACAGTGATGGCGCTACCAACAGCAACCCTCTGGCCAGCTCAGACTAGATAATGCCCAGTAAAGCGCACCATTATGCCTGAGACCACTCCACCTTCGACACCTATCATGTTACCGGCACTCAGGTCAGCTCTGGATTTGTTCCATTGACTGTCCCTAGAATTGGAACCGTGACGCTCGAATTGGTCCGCAGCCCTAACGACCCTAGGTCCTACACACTTGTCTTGAAAGATGTCCTACATATTCCCACGGGGCTCTATAATGGTATTATCATCACCCCTTCGGTCGTGAAGGCGCATAACTTCGCGTTTATTTATTTTGAGTTGACCGAGGTGTTCAATTCAACAACAGGAGAACTATTGTTTTATGCTCACCACTACTGCGGACTCTATCAGGCTTTCCTGGCGGGAGGACTATACGGGATGTTAAACGTGTTAAAAGGGACTTTTAGCCATGTGTTTTTGTTTCAGACAAAGATATGACGATGCTACACCGGCGGGCTGGATTGGAGACTTTAGAAGCAGGGTCTACAAATATATCCCGGGGTGAGACGAGGTGAGATAAAATCGAACATGTTATCCGGTCTGTGTATTCTTTGAATAATTATCCATCAACAGTATTGATATGTGCAACATGGCAGCGTCACGTGGAGTTCACGAATAGTTACTAGGGCAGTACTTTAATGGATTTATATTCAAAGACATGGGTGGTATTCCGTAGCCAATGCACAAATCCAGATAGTCCTGTTTGGGAGAGCCATTACTACTTGGTCCATTTTTAATTTCAGAGAGCTGCAACGATTGCTTTAAATGTTAGATATAGAAATTTGGGGTTGATACATATTCAATTTCTTTGAAAATGAACATAGTTATAACCAGACAGCCTTGGGCAAAAGTATTACTCGGGAGGAGGCACCACGCTAAGCCACATTTTTCGATCGACTATACTTTCTCACTCCCTTTATCATCCTCTAATCTCATATTCATTATACAGGAGCCGATTTCTTACTGAGATTGCCACGTTGGACTATATCGGGCCATCCTTGCAGGGAATCCGCAAGGGGAATACTTCCGGAGGAATGAGAGCAAAGTGATGACTGAGAAATTCAATTCCCAAAGAGCCCGCTGTTGGGACAAGATGATGGTCAATGGTACAGTCCACTATGTCAAAAATTGATCCTCATTCAGCACCTACCATCGTGCTCTATGTCAGATCGGTTTTACATTCCTACAGCGAGACGACGAGTCCAAGGCCTTCCGCAAGCACATGCTGGGAATCGGCATCTTGAAACTAAATCTGGTCCGTGGGCCTGGCGATCCGAGGATATATATGCTGGTCTTAGATAATGTGCTACATATACCTTCAGCATCGTGCAATGGGATCAGCTTCTATCTGCTCAAAAGCAGAATAGATGACAGGCTGGAAACCCGAGGCTGTTAGTGAACTGAATCTGTCCTACTTGTGGTTTGGCTTCTTGATGCTCGAGCATCGACACTGTTGGTTTGTGGAAGAATGATCGATGCATTGATAACAATTAACTGTATCAATGCTTATTGATTTATATTTCTTTTTACCTCCAAACCCCCCCCCCCCCCCCCCCCCCCCAACAGCTATCGTGCCGCCCTCGCTGCAAATCTGCGGGCAGAACCATCTCTAAAAGAGGGGGCTAGATATGGCATGTTGAAAATTTATGCTTCGTGTGGGGTCGGGAGATGTTTATACAATAGAGGTACTGGTATCTAATGGAAGTGGCGCTAAGCCCAATCGGTCAATCTACAAACAACCATCATTTCTGGAGCGACTTCTACGCAGCAGCAAATATATTTACTGAAAAGACACGTGACTGCTTGACAACTATCCGCTCTTCCTCTCCTCTGACGCATTGGCTTCTTAGAACCAGCTAGCCTACTTTATCAGATTCAACCTAAATTTCTTTCTTCTCTTGTCGTCTTTTTGCACTTTAGCCCATCAATTCCATCCCATACAAAACAAGTTGTTATCATGGGCGAAATTGGCGAATACTGGCGGGACTATAAGGGGTATAAAAGACATCAAGAAGATCTTCGTTTGAAGCAGCAGGCTCTCAAAGAACAGGAGTCAACCCTTCAGGATGAGACCACCTCTACCAACCCTGCTCCCAACCTCGCGGCCAACAACAATTACCAAGACCATAGCAATAAAACTCAGAAGACCAAGAATGCCACCAATGATGCCACCAAGGACTTCACCGAGGATACCAAGAAAAAAACCAGTACCCCAAACACCCGCCGCTGCTGGGACTGGATGATGGTCAGTGGTAGCACTCACTACGCCAGAAACCGCTCATCGTTCAGTACCTATCGTCACGTTCGCGGCCAAATTACTTCCTCTATTCTTCCAGGCACCGGTCGGATTCAAGTCCTGGGCATTGGAGCCGTGAAACTGAACATGATCCGCGGCCCCGACGATCCGAGACCCTACACGCTTGTCCTGAAGGACGTGTTGCATATACCTTCCGCGGTCTGCAATGGAATCAGTATTTTCTTGCTGCCTGTCATATTTGATGTGAGAAATAGAAGAGTGTTTGACTCGCATACCAAGGAGCCGTTGTTTTATGGGGAGAAATATTTCGGTCTGGATAGGGCTGTTCTTGCGGGTGATACACAGGGGGAGACGTATATGGAGGACGGAACTGGCTACATGCTGAGTATCAATGCTATGGAAAAGGAGCTGGAGACATTGGCCCGGAAAGCTAAGCATTGAGGATCGTGATTGAGCCGAGCAAGGTTTGATCTAATGTTTGTTTGTGTACGAGCTCTGATACTATCGCTTCATGAGATCATCAATAATGTTAGGTTGCCCTTCCTCAGTCTGCTTAGTTATTAGGGCAATCCCATAGCAGCGAAAATGCTCTTTTATTTCCCCTTTGCTAAAATCTTGCCCTTCCAATTTGTGAGGCTTGCGAGAGGATAAAACCATAATCATTAATATTCGTACTTGCCAAATTTCACGAGAAAAGAAAAAATATAGACTTAAATCAGAGCTTGCTTTTACCACGCGAAAAGCTAGGAATCAAAAAATAAATGGCAAAATTGGGAGGAAGGGGCTCGAACCTAGTAGGCAGGGCTAACGAGACCCTAACATGGCGGAATACTAGGCCAGACCCATGCGCTATCAGCACTCTCCCGTGTGCCTGTCCAACATTTTCGATCTATTAGTTTACTTGAGTTCGTCAGCCTATTCAGCTGCCTAGCCGTGGATGGTATTCGATAGTAACCTGATGTGGTCATCGGTTGGAGGTGGCGCTAAACCAGATCCGTCAATCCGTTCAGACGACCGCCAGCTTACATTAGCTTAAGACTTGACGTATTCGTCGCCTTGAGGCAATTTCACTGCTCAGTGGGGTGACCTCAACATTGTTGTTTCAGAAATTCGCTTGTTCGAAGAGATTAAGCCCACCAGAAGCACTTTATACCACCGCTACTACTAACCCTGGTGTAAATTTCAACCTTTGCGGAAACATCATCACGGGCAGCATCGGGAAGTACTTCCGTGACTACAGAGAACACAAAAATCATTAGAGACATCGTCATCAAAGGAACCGCAAAGCAAAGCGAGAGTGAACCATTAGAACGCCATCAATGATAACCCGCCCTCGCCAACAAAAACGATAACAACGTCCGCTGCTGGGACCGGATAATGGTCTTGCGTACAAATCATTATGCCAAGAACCGTTCGTCATTCAGCACCTACCTGCACGCCCTATGTAGAATCAATTCCTCCGTCTACGGCCCAACACTTATCCTAGGCGCTGGCACTGTGAAGTTGGAAATGCTGCGTAGCCTGAAGGACTTACACTCTGGTCTTGGAGAATGTGCTTTATATGCCCACAGCAATTTATAATGGGATCTGCCTCGGTGTACTTGTGCGTCGGCATGACTCCATACTAACTAACAACCAGCAACATTACACAGCATAAATAAATTTATAATCACCTAGAGACAGGTAGATTCACTTCTCGTATCCGGAATTACACACAGCAATTACCTCCGGCCCCTGTAAGCTCTATCCAGTACATCACACAGAAAACCAGTGCCGTCAGTCCACTACACTCATTATTTTTCCCAAATTTATTCATCAAGAAAAAACAGTTGGCTTCCCTGTATTTCGGGAATAGAGCAACTGATAGCGGCCAGAAGTTTGGGCAATGACAGGTTTCAGTTGTTGGCTGACCGGATAGCGGAATGGGTTATAGACGTCTGCTGTCTGGTGATAGTCTGTCTAAAGGAGAGGAGATTATCGACCCTCGCATTTCCATGAACCAAATTTATGCAAATGTTACAAGTTGCGTGCATAATTAACCAGAGTGTAGGCGGGTATACTTTCAGATACCTTAAAGAGGGTCTTGTTGCTGACCCGTTATTTTAACGACAAATGTTTGAATTCAAAACACCCAGAAGGGCAATAATGCACCCAGGGATTGCAAGAAAGAAAGAAAAAACGAAAAAGAAACACAATGCATTATAAAAAGCAGGTGCTTTCCCCTGCGCCTAAATGAGGGCCGAACTCCGGGACAAACCCTGAAGCAGGTGTACAAGAAGGAAAGTGCATCATTTGCCATAACAAGATTGCACTGTGAGTGTGCTAATACGATTAATCTATTACTACAGCAAAGACCTCGTCCTCCGAGCATTACCTATGTGGGACGTTCAAAATTGACTTGTTTGAATTGTTGGTATATGGTTGCAGCAATCGGAGTAAGACTAGGCCTTTAGCGGCGTATACAAGGCACCCATGGCAAAGTGTATTGGCCATGGAGCTATTCAACGCAGGGGATTGTGGTACCAAAGCGGGAGGCCGCGCACATAAAGTTGAACATATCTTTGCAAACTGGATAGTTGAGAGATTCATAAGTCACACAAAAGGAACTAAGATTGAATACAAAAGAATGGTACTGCCATGGAATCAGCACTATCGATAACTGGAGACATGCTAGCAGCAGTCTATCATTCAGAAAAGCGCAGAGATAGAGTCCTTTCTTGCCACTGCGACTGTCTCTGCAGCTGCACCTTTGATAGCTGAGGCTACTTGCGTTTCTTTTTTTTTATGATGCTAGTTCTGAAACTTGTTTAATTTGGCGTTCACTGTCGATATAATTGCTTTACAGTATTCGTCTTCAGCATAAATAAGCATTTCTAGAAAATGAACAAAATCGGGATATTTGCGAAATTCTATACCACTGTAGCCTGAGGCGTCAGCGCTGAGCTTTGTCGATCATGGAGTGGCGCTAAACCTAATAGAAATCCACTTGCTCGCATCCTTGGAACGACCGTACAAACTTCACAGCAAAAAACAGCCGATTTGGAGAGACACACGTCAACAATCTGACATATCCTCGCCTCCATTACGAATTCCGCTCATTTCCCTCCAATATGCGATTTCAATTTTCACTAGTACGCTCACGGAGTACATCACTTCATCTTCTATCTTATCTTTCTAATTACTCTTAAATAAAGCTGCCATGGGTGACATCGACCACCATCGTGGCTTTAGCGAATGCAAGAAACAGCGCAAATCGCGCCGTGTGAGACACAACAGCCAGAAACAAGCAAACCAGGCCCGAAATAACAATCACAATTTCAACGACAATGACAACCATACCCACGGATCCAATAGTGACGACAACAGAAGCACCAGCAGCAGCAACAGCAACGGCACCAGTAATGGCAACAACAAAGGCAGCCATTATAACAACAACAACTCTAGCCAACGCTGTTGGGACTGGATGATGGTAGGAGGCACAAACCATTACGCCAAAAATCGCTCCGCATTCATCACCTACCGCCGCGCGCCCTGCAAAGTCAACGGCCACACCCGCGTCCTAGGTGTCGGAACCGTCAAGCTAGACCTAGAGCGTAGTCCCCAGGATCCCAGTACGTACACCCTACTGCTACACGATGTGCTGCACATCCCCGACGCCATGTGTAACGGCATTAGCATCAACCCGGATTTCATGGGCGCGAGGAATTATGGGATTTCATGGCGAGATAAGCGCATATATGATGCAGATACTGAGGAGCCGTGTTGGTATGCGACGGCATTTCATGATGATGGTTTGATGAGGTGTGTTCTTGCGGGGGATCCTCAGGGGCAGACGTTTTTGGAGAAGGATGGGAGGTATATGTTGAGTGTTAATGCGTCGGAGGAGGAGTTGGGGGTTTTGGGGAGAAGGGTTGAAAATCGGAGTCTGTTATGATAATTTGGATTTGGATAGGTTTTTAACAGACTGTTTTCATGGGCGTTGGGTTTTGGACATTGATAATTGAGTAAATATCATCGATAACGCAATAGTATACACCATGCTCGTATCGTACACTTCGTACATAATAAAAGAGGGCATTGCCCAGAAACGCATTGAACTATATATACAAGAACATAAACTCCCCTAATTCGACTAAACTGGTTCATTCAACATCCATAAGAACGTCACTCATGATATGAAGTACATACGAAAACTTTCGCACGCTCCACTTCCCCGTATCTTTCAAAAGACCAGCATAGTCCAGCAGAATGCGTCGAGCGGACTGATACCCGCCTTGGAAGGGTATCCCGCGAAGGTATACTGTGCCCCCGTTCTGGATGAAGCTTACCGCAGGATCATCAGTAGCTGAGACTGCCAAGCTGCCTCGCGGTTCCATGTAGCTGGTGAACCCCTCCGTCCCCACCTTTTGCCAATCGATGTCATCCAGCAACTCGATTGATGTGGTTCCGTGTGATGACTCGGGCGAATTGGGCACCATGAATGTATACAAGCCCAGGACAAGGGCGGCTGAGAAGAGGGAGAAGACCGTATGAAAGGTGGTATGATCTGATGCTTTGCGATTGATCATCGCTTTGTAAACATGTGCTGCATGTAAACATGCTCTCCGGGCTGCTGGTGTTTGCGACCAAGCGGCGATATCGTCGAGTGCCTGGCGGGCTGGGCCTGGACCTGCACGGCCTGCAGCCATGTGGAATATTTGGATATCTGCGGTGAGCATCATGCACATGTTGTGCCACATAACAGCAGCGTTGGGATTTAGTTGTTCCAGTGCTTCGCCGTATTTGCGCACAGCCTGAAGCTGCAGGGAGGGCAAGCACCTGGCTCGACCGTCCATTGCGTATGTGTGGCAGGGTGCAAATGGGTAGCTAGCCCGATTGGATAGGAGGCGATGATAAGCGCCTGAAATTCGTAGCTGGATTGTGGCCAGTATGCCATGCATACTGAAATCTTCAATGGGGCTGTCAAATGTTGGAAGATTAATAACCTCTGATGGAGCCATCACTGTCGGCGCCAATATCCGTTTTCCACTTTGAACTAGCTGTATCCAGCGCGTCGGGTTGTATGCCTGGAAAAGCGCTTCATTGCATGGGAGAATGAACTGGATTGAATCTGGGACAACAATGGGACTCGTATTCAAAAATGAAGAATACCAAGAGTCCAGAGTCAACAGCCCCATGATCAACCGCTTCGTGGATTCCACTTTACTCCAAGCTTTCCACCGGGTATCCATGTCGACGATCGACTCAAACAGACTCGTATCCAAGATCTGGCCCTCGGTTGCTGAAAAAAACCCGTCCCTCTGTGCTATAGAGAGTAGATTGACGTATAGGATCTGGCATTGTTCGAGGTGTTCCTTTTCTCCGGTCATTGCAGCAAGATTAAGGAAAAGAAGAGCAGTCGCATATGTAGAAATCGTTTCCAACGGGGACTCGAATCCACTAGAGCATCTTCCCAGTTCCGCTGTTATTCTCCCAAGGACGAAGGGGAAATTCTTGATCACAAAGTTTGTCGTTCCTCTCGTGTCCAGCATTATCATGCCAATAAGGCACATTACATAGAGTGGCGGAAGTCGTGTTTTTTTGGCTGAGAATGTAGGGATATGAACGAACGGCATGAGCGGGTGAAAGTTGCGGAAGTAAAGATCGAGCGCCATGTCCAAGACTTCTGCGGGAGGAAAGCATGGGAGGGAGCGCAGAGTAGAATCCAAAGATGTTGACGAGAGAGGATTGTTTGGATGCACCCGAGTGGGCAATTGGCCAAAAGCCGCCTGAAGACGCTGTTTGCACTGCTCATCCAACCCATACCGCGAGCCTTGGAGTCTATCAGAGTGATCATCGAGCAGGTTTACAGTAGGCGTTGTAAATATGTTTTCCAGATCGCTGCAAGCCACGTCCCTCCACAAACTATTCATCGGCCGTCTCCCTGCATTGGATGGTGCAAGCCAAAAGCGTTGCACTTTAGCAAAGCGCTCATTGGGGATATCTTCGAAATTGACGGTGTCGACGGACGGTTTGTATTGACGGTCGGGATATAGCGAGAAGTTATTCTCAAAAAGACCGGGATTAGGGTCCTGCATTAGATCTAATGAGCCATGCTGGGAACTTGCATCCCCACGTGGTTCCAACCACAGCTGCATGATATCATTGGGCATGGTGCCAAACATGGCTTCATTGTGGGTGTGCTGTCCGGCCGGTGTTTCCCCATTCCAAGGAATATAAGCTTGTCTGTTATCCACCATCATTGGATTGGAGTCTGACTCGGTACGCGCATGTTGATGAGTCGAGATATCTGTTAGAAAGTCAAGGGGTGAAGGCGGGATGGCTATTGCCGCTGATAGAGGAGGTAGTCCCTGGGGCGTAACCGCTGCATTCGCAAACTGACTTGCACCTTCCACCGGTTTGCTATGGGGTAATTGTTGACCATTATCATCCAGAGCAATGGTGGACGAGGTTCCGGTAATGGTCGAGGGGCGGCGGTCAGAAGTTGCGGAGGGTTTCCTTCCCGGTACATTTGCGTTTTGAGGATTATGCCCTTTGGCATGGCGGCTCAGGACATCACTAAATCCGACATGTTAGAACTGTCTCCGGTGTTCGATCACATTTGCGCAATGACCGAAAGTCGAGACTCGAGACGCACCTCCGCGAAAACCGTTTATGGCAGACATTGCACTCGTACGGACGCTCGTTCGTATCTAATCAAGCTGTCAGTAAATAAAAGCATCACACAACTCAGCAGCCTAGGCAAATACTGACGCGACCGTTCATGGCGCTTGAAATGCTCCGTCTTCTTGAACCGGCGATCACAAATGGTACACTTTTTCAACACCATGACGCCGCGGGGTGTGAAAGAATTGAATCACGACATGGGAAGCATCGTCGGAAAATTAGCACATTAATAAAATAAGTAGTAGATGAGCAGAAAGGCGAAAGTCATAATGAATCGAAGTGAAGAACAGAAGGTGAGGGGAGAACGTGTAAATGTTGGAGGATCAGCGCTCAGATTGAGAAACGGTCAGGTCTCGTTATTACGATACATAGCTAGCTTGGTCGGGAACGATCGACAGCGTTTTTGTGAAGAACCGGCGGGTATGTAATGTAAGATTCTGTATAATTAAATACGATACCGGTTATAACCGTGTGCCAGCAAGAACCGTAGGATTACTAACTTTGACATAATAGCCGAGGACGTTATTGAGAACTCGCAGTTGTGTAGTGAAGTATGGCTGGAGGATGCTTCGGCAGGGTACAAGCCCGTGTTGGGAGAGGATTCCGGGGTAGTCAGCGCAAGTTGTGGTTTGGCAGGCATGTTGGAACGATACTTATATAATACGGAAATCGATGGAGTGTTGGACATGGGCTATGACAGTCTTTATATCCTGGCTCTATCCAACCCATATGGGGCATAGGGCTTGACATCTTGTGGGGCATGTGGATGTGGAGATGCCCTACTACCGGGTTGGAATATCTGCAACTAGCATACTTCATAAAATTCTAATCCACAGTGAATAGGGCCTACAGTCTACCGGTAGGTGCTATGTGCATCAGGTATCATTATAGTCATGCCTATGTACAAGGATCTATGTCTTTTATTCGCGGATGAACAACGAGGCCACACCCATTCCGGTACTAGATCAGTCAGTATAAATCACTCTCATCATTGCAATTGAGACAGGGTGCTTACCTGGCACACATGCTCACAATACCCATCTCAGTATCCTGCTTCAGCATCTCCGCCAGCAGAGTGGCAACCTGTCTGGTACCAGTAGCACCGATAGGGTGTCCCAGGGCAATAGCGCCTCCGTTGGGGTTGACCTTGGCCATGTCGATGCCCAATTCGCGCACACAGTAGATGCTCTGACTGGCGAAGGCTTCGTTCAGCTCGAAGATACCGACATCGCTCTGCTCAATGCCGCAGTATTTGTAGAGGTTGCGGATGGCGAAGACGGGCGAGATACCCATCTCATCGGGGTTGTTGCCGGCCATCTGAGTACCGGCGAAGCGGGCAATGGGCTTCAAACCGTGGGCGTCAGCCCATGCGCGGCTGGCGAGGATGGTTGTCGAGGCACCGTCGGAGATTTGCGACCTTTCATTTAGTTAGTCTTATCCAGCGTTCAAATATGGCAGGAAACATACGAGTTACCAGCAGTGCTGGCTCCTCCCTCAAGGACACCCTTAAGACCTGACAACTTCTCATAAGTCACGCCATGGCGAACACCTTCATCATGCTCGACCAACTTAGTTGTCTCCTCCTTTGTCTCCTGGTTGACATGACGTGCATTGATCGGGACAATCTCATCCGCAAACCGTCCCGACTTCTGCGCCTTACTAGCGCGTCGCTGACTCTCCACCGCAAACTCATCCTGCTCCTTCCGACCAACATTGTACCGTGCCGCAACATTCTCTGAAGTCTTCAACATGGGCAGAATGCAGTCCTTAGCATCCTTAACTGGCGAATCCTTCAGCAGTGGCGAGACATCGACGGGAATAGCACGGGTCGCGTAGTTTCGCGTCATGCTCTCCACACCACCGGCCAAACCAACATCAACCTGTCCAACCAAAATCGAGTTTGCAACGTGCGTCAATGCCTGCAAGCTGCTAGAGCACTGACGGTTAACGGTGTGGAAGGTAGTCGAGTTAGGGAAACCGGCGTGGTTAAGCGCCATGCGACCAGTCTTAGCGAAACCCAGCTCAGCCAGGACATTTCCGATCATGGCATCGTTGACATCGCCGGGGTTAATGTTGGCTTTCTTGACGGCGGCTTGCATAACGGGCATTAAGATCTCTTCGGGATAGGAGTCTTTGAAGCCGCCTTTGTAGGCGCGCCCGATGGGACTGCGAACGGAGGAGAGGACAACCACATCTTGTGGTGTCTTTTTGAGAACTTCTTTGGCGCCTCTAATTAACATTCTATCTGGCAGGTATGTGTACAGCTGGAGAGGAGAGCTGAAGACGAAGGGGGATCGGAGTGGCGTGGGGCTTAAATATAACTAGGCTGCCCCACGTGAGAGCTCTTTACCGGTGCTGGAGCCGATATTGAGATACATTGTACTGAGTAATATCGAGGATTTCTTTACTGCTCTTGTGTTTTCTACTTGTAAGATACATGGTTATCGTTATGCTTGTGTACACAGACACAGCTATGTTTATGGCGCTACTCAATCCCCGGATTATCAACCCCACACCTAATCTGATAACGATGAAGATTTTTAAAATGACAACACAAGCATCTATAGCATTTCGCAGAAGCATTGGCGTTGTTCTCATTCAAATCCCGTTAAACTCCAACATGTTTCTCTGCCCTCTATTTTCCGGACTCTCTTGCAGTCTACTCCATGCCGACTTCTTCCCGATGGCAAGCCGAATGTTTGTTGCCGATGTGCTTCCCGATCGGAAAGTATTACGATACATACAGAGCTATGCACTAATGATGATATGTGCTAATGTCACAACAATCTATGCAATAGCCATATCAGGTGGACTAGAGCTAGAAAACCAGCTGATACTCACCATGCTAGCTTTTGAGCCCCAGATATCTTAAGCTGAATCTCGACTATGTATAGGTATTCTCGCATCTATATTACAATACAATACATTACCGGCTTCCGATCCGGCAAAGGGCAGTCCCATAATCAGTCCGGATAAGCACTTAGTCGGCTCTTCCCTATCTGATGTAGCCGAATGGCGATATGCTGCTTGTTTAATTTAATCTCCAAACCCTCTTCTTTCTCTCAATATCTCAATTACTTCTGATATAACATCTTATATAGTACTGCAGGATGACGAGACCGTCCCCTGCAGTCGCGGCATTCCGCCCGCTTTGGCGGCGGAATTTCTCCGTATCAACATCAAAACGCGCGATTGATAAATTATGCCCCTCTGCGAACGAAGCCGTCCAGGACATGAAGGGTCCTTCGACCCTCTTGGTTGGTGGATTTGGTTTTTCTGGTGTCCCGAACACCCTGATCAATGCGGTGCGTGATCGTCCTGAGGTCAAAGGTCTTACGGTTGTTTCGAATAATGCGGGCATGCCCGGTGCTGGTCTCGGTATGTCATTATTGAATTGATGGAAGGGGGAGAAACGAAAAGCTGACTTGCGCAGGGCAATTGCTTGAAACTGGTCAGATCAGCAAGATGATTGCGTCCTTTATCGGTGAAAACAAAGTCTTCGAGAAAATGTATCTCAGCGGCGACCTCTCCCTCGAACTCACCCCCCAAGGCAGCATTGCAGAGAAGTGTGCCTCTGGTGCTGCCGGTGTCCCGGCTTTCTACACCCCTGCGGCTTATGGAACGATTATACAAACTGGTGAACTCCCCGTACGTTATAACAAGGACGGAACTGTTGCAGAAAAGTCAAAACCCAAGGAAACTCGTGTTTTCAACGGCAAGGAATACGTTTTGGAAGAAGCCATCTTCGGTGACTACGCTCTGGTCAAAGTACACAAGGCCGACAAGTTGGGCAACTGCCAGTTCCGCAAGGCGATGAACAACTTCAACGAGGCTATGGCGAAGAACGCCAAGTATACTATCGTCGAAGCGGAACACATTGTCGACGTTGGTGAAATCGATCCGGAAAATGTTCACTTGCAGGGTATCTATGTCAACAAGGTCGTTCAGAGCACTGAGAAGACCATGGTTGAGAAGGCTACCTTTGCCAAGGACCCTGCTGAGATGCTCAAGGCTGGCTCCGGTGACGCTACTGTCCGTCGGGAACGTATCGTCAAGCGTGCCGCCAAGGAGTTCAAGGACGGAATGTATGTTAACCTTGGTATCGGTATGCCTTTAATCGCTCCTTCGTATCTCCCCGAGGGTGTTGAGGTTGTCCTCCAGGCCGAGAATGGTATCCTGGGTCTGGGTGGCTACCCCCAGCCTGGTGAGGAGGACCCCGACCTTATTAACCCTGGCAAGGAGACTGTTACTTTGGGCACTGGTGCCTCGCTTTTCGGTTCTCACGAGAGTTTTGGTATGATCCGCGCTGGTCGTATTGATCTCACTATGCTTGGTGCTCTGCAGGTCAGCCAATATGGAGGTACGTCGTGTCGTCCCGGTAACCATCTTGTTCATGGCTAATGACAACAGACCTCGCCAACTTCATGCTTCCCGGTAAGGTCAAGGGTGTCGGTGGTGCCATGGACCTGGTCGCCAACCCCAAGAAGACCAGGGTCGTTGTGACTATGGAACACGTCGACAAGAAGGGCAACCCCAAGATCCTTCCTAGTAAGTCCCCCATCCACATTTTACCACATCACACCTTAGTACATCAGCTAATGTGATGCAGACTGCTCCTTCCCCCTTACCGGTCCCCGCTGCGTGTGGAAGATCATCACCGACCTCGCTGTCTTCAACGTCAGCCCTACTGAGGGTTTGACCCTGGCCGAGCACGCTGAGGGTGTCTCGGTTGATGAGATCCGCAGCAAGACTGCTGCTCCTTTCAATGTTGCCGATGACTTGAAGCCAATGCTGTAAATGTGATGCGATGCCGATGATGTTATGTATAAACATTAGATACCTTTTGTATAGATTATATTGAACACATTTCAAAACATGAGTCAATGTAAGCTCTAAACAGTCAGAGCTTACTCTTAACATTGACAGTGACCGGTTTCTTGTTGTAATATTGGGGTCATGTCATGTCTCAGCACCTCCAGTCCCTAGTCACATTAGTATAACCACCCAAATACAGTGGTAGCAAAGAAAAAAAAAAAGAAAGAAAAACCTACCATAGGCAACTCCCCCGCAAGCCCCTCATCCGCCTCAGCCCTCACACAAAGCTTAAAGAATTCATCATTCTCCCGCGCAGTACTTGCTTCCTGCTCATGCGGCCGTCGAAGATTCTCCCTAGACGCGGGATCAATCACATCCGACCAGATTTTCCTCCGCACCTCACTGTATTTATCCAAGATGCTATCATCAGAAAGGCCCATGTGAATGCCCATTAGTGCATCGAAGAGGCTGCCTGCGTCTGCAATACCGCCGGTGAGGCCTAGACCACCGCTATTGTCACACCTCAAGTTAGTATATGTAGATCCCCGGGTTCCAAGAGATACGTGCAATGGATTACAAACATGCGCCGCATCCGCAGCAAGAACTACCCGTCCCATTCGAAACGACGGTGCGCACCGCCGCTGCATCCGATATGGACTGATGTTCGTGATCTGGTAGTCGCCTGGTTTGGGGTTTCCGGGGAGGATCTCCTTGTAGCGCATTGGTTGGCGGGCGATAAATTCTTCGCGCGTGAGGCCGGGAGTGTCGCCGTAGGTTACGCGGTAGAGGCCGTCTACAGTGATGCACGCAGCCATGTAGAAGTTCTTGGGGTGGATGATGAAGTTTGTGTCTGTGTAGTTGTAGCAGTCGAAGTTGTAGTAGACCTTTGGTGGGTGAGTTCAAGAATTGTGATGGAATGGGAGGGAAATGTACGTTTGTAGCGACAAGCTGCGCATCCAAAGTCTCGCCTGGATACTCGGATCCAAATAGTTCTCGTTGCACGGTACTACTCGCCCCATCACATCCAAGAGCATAATCCGCCTCGAATCTCTTCTTACTATCCCCTGTCTCAACATCAACCCAAGCCTTATCCCCATCCTGCCCCACCTTAACAACCCTATGCGACCATCTCACACTCACCGTCGGTTGCCGCTGTAGATGTTCATAGAGAATCTCTCCCAACTGACCCAACGGAAGCACCACCAGAGAATGCCGCTTACGTTCCTCTGGCATACGATCCAGACGCATAATAGCCACTATATCCGTGTCAACCTTTCTCCAGATCATTTTCTTGTGATTGATCCCGCGGGCCGTAACATCGTCGAGGACGCCGGCACGGTCGAGTTCGTAAGCCGCAGGAGAGGCATAGTGTGCTGCACGGGGTTGTTTGTCGAGTGTTGCACCGGGGTCGAGGATGTCGACGTGGATTCCTTGTTTGGCGAGGAGGAGGCCTAGGATTAGGCCGGTAGGACCTGCGCCGACTATAATCACCTGGTATTGGGTTAGAATGATTTGGCATAGTACGGATTAGGGCGCTTTACCTTGTTCAATGGCATTGTGAGATTCCTTTGGCTATCAACCCCGCGGACGATGGGATACTAGCATTTTATAGTACGGGCCAGCTAGATTACCTTGTCTTTACAACGCAAAGGTCCCTTTGCGGCTCATGTCGTCGGACCGGATTGATTCCGATAGGAATTCGATCGTCACGTACTTCGGTGACAGATGACATTTGTTCCTAATTGGCGAATGACTTGAGGCTTGCGAAGCACTAAAATATAGAGAAAACGCTGGACGTGCACCATCTCGGCTAATAATTCCCGCATGAAAAGTTGACGTGTACCGCAATGCAATGTATCTTAATTAGGAACAGACGAAGCCGTGGAGCTGTCATCACCACAAAAATTGTTTCTGGAATTTGATTGGCGGAGCTCCGGTCCATAAACTGGGTTCTTGTGATGTATGATGAGCTTCTACCGGGAGTGGTTGACTCGGGGAATTCAGTATGCAGGATTCATTCAATGATGTTCCTGCACTTCTTTGACGTTTCCTAGACTGGCCCGTGCTTGCATTTTCTTGCAGACGTAGGGGTGGAGATGCAGTCATATGCACAGTGTGAGATGCCTCGGGTGGAGCTATTCTGGACTCGAATTCTAGTGAATCGTCGTAATGACCATGAGCACCAGAATCGCTCTGGTTTGGTTCGTACTGTGACGCATTTGTACTTATCTCAGTGATTGTTGAAGGTTCAAACTGGACTTTATCACGCTCATCAGTTGAACCATACATCTCCCTAGAGCAATCATGCTGCCATTCCCGAACATTTTCAGCGGTTTCCAACGGAAACTTCTTCCAATATTCGGTTCCCTTTTTCCCCAACCTCGAGAAAGGCGCATAGCCGTTTGCGCTGCTAAATTGATCTCTGGACAGCGCCGATGCCAATTGAGCATCCGGAAATTGCGACAACACTTTCAACAGCACAGTCTCGGTTTCATGTAAACGGTTTTCCAATACTTCAATGTAACCTTTTGCGGGGCCTCTGCGAATATTGGATCAGTCTTCGGAACTCAACTACCTGTCGATCAAGACATACCGTTTAAGTTGCTCTGGCCAAGCGCAAGGGCGATTATGTTCGAGACATTGCGTGCAAACTGGCCTGTCTCAATAAGTATTCCATATTTTGGCAAACAGTAAACCAGAACTCACTTTTCTCCGCTGCACTATGGATAAATTAGCGACCGATTCAAATCCCAATTCGTCTTGCGACAGCATACCTTTTGCTTCCGCGAACGACAGGCGTTGCAGGCAATCGTGATGCGAGATGGCTTTTTCGCATTTGATTGGGCCATACTTATTTCCAGCATATCTAAAGTTTACCGAAGTGTCCTGTAGAGAAAAGCAGCCATTATAAGGTCGAGTCGACGGTGGTGCCAAAAGCGGCGCGTCGGCTGAAGGTTTAACCGAAAAGGTTTTACTGGCACCATCTTCAACCTCTGGTATAGAGTACGGACATAAATCAACTTTCTGATGGCGATGTTAAAATGGCTTCTTGTCTAATCAAGGCGTGTTTCTAGGTATGTTATCAATATATAATGTTCGGGCATCATGGTGACGCTGTACAGCAGTGCTGGCTTACCGGATTCCATTTCCAGACATACTCGGTGCCCGGTGATGTCCTATCTCGCCAATTCTTTCCCCTCGAAAATAGGCACATGCTGCCTTGAATACATAATATGTTTATTCGAGAATCCCTCGCGAGCTCTGATGGTTGTTACCAAATCGCTTTCAGGCGAGGATTCTTATTCACCACGGGGATCGGACACTCGAAGACAGTGAGTCTCCAGGAGGAAACTTTGACAGAAGAACGGGCCTCGCCGTCTGCCGTTCCATGGATACCGATTGCCCAGAGTCTAGACAGCTGGCCGATGTACCGAGACTGTTCTGAACGGCCTGCCTGCACTATGCAAGATCTGGCGATTGAACACGGAGAAATATGCGGTCTAAGCGGAAGTCAGACAGGAGATAAAGATTGGTCTGTTTTAAGGCATGTTTCACTTTCTTCATGATTTGAAATAAAGAGAAAGAATCAAACTCCCGAAATCCAGCACGGATCCACTGAAACAGTTTGGCACTCGGAAAGCTACATACGGCTGGCTTCTTTTTTCTTTCCATGCAGGTACGCGATAAGGAAATTTCCAGATCGAAACATGACGTACCACATGCTTGCGATGTCGGCAATGGATGGTGGAGTCGGCGTCATGGACGACAGTTTGATGCAAACATCTCTCAGGCCAAGCAATGGATGTCTCTCTTTTTCATTCACTGTCTTTGTATACAGTGAATATAAAGTGACGCGATTGACCAGTGAATGGAAGTTCTTGATAAGAATTATAAATACCGGCTGCAGCCTCTTAAGTCTTTCTCTTCAATATCTCTCTTCCACTGACAAGTATCAACCCAATTCCAGCGCCATGGCACCGCAGATCGAGGACAACCCTATCTCGTCGCAATTCTACACTCTATGCAAGGCTGCAACTTCTGAATCTCGCTTTGGTTCCCTATCTATCCTCCCCAATGATGAACCGTTCGCCCTGCACGGTGAATACCTCAACGACCCTCACCCCAACAAGGTCAATTTGGGCATAGGCGTCTATCGTACCGAGAATGGAGGCCCATGGCCCTTAAACGTCGTTGAAGAGGCGGAGGCGCAGCTGCATCGAGAGAGGGACGAGGGAAGACACGAATACCTGACCATCCAGGGTGACTTGGGTTTCCTTCCCTTGGCGCGTGATTTGGCTTTCAGCTTCCAGGAGCACGAACTGGGTCTGCAGCGTGGTAACATGGATCGTATTGTGTCTATCCAGACTGTCTCTGGCACTGGAGCAAACCGACTGGGTGCTGAGTTCCTTGCACGCTCTCTTAAGCCGCGTACTGTTTGGATCCCTGAACCTACCTGGAGCAACCACCATGCCATCTGGGAGCTCGCTCAGGTGCCGATCAAAACCTATCCGTACTACGACTTCGAAGGAAAATGCTTCAACTACGGAGGGACGGCGCAAATTCTAGCGAATGAGGCCGAAAGAGGCGACGTTGTGATCTTCCATGCCTGCGCCCACAACCCTACAGGCGCTGACCCGAGCAAAGAGCAGTGGATGCAACTTGCGAACCTCTGTCAGACAAGGGGCCTGTTTCCATTCTTCGACCTCGCCTACCAAGGGTTCGCATCCGGCAGTCTCGAAGAGGATGCCTGGGCTATTCGTCACTTCCTGCAATCCTGCCCTCAACTCGAGTTTTGTGTCGCGCAGTCTTTCTCCAAGAATTTCGGTCTTTACGGTCAGCGCACCGGTGTGTTGCATGTCGTAACTACCAGTGACACCGGAAAGGTCCCGCAGGCGGTCCTGGCGAATCTCAACCTCCTCGCTCGCAGTGAGTACGGTATGGCGCCTCGTAGTGGATCAGACATTGTCAAGACTGTCCTTGGCTCCAAAGAACTGAGGGAGAAATGGCATGGTGATCTGAAGCACATGAGCGGACGAATCATTGCGATGCGGCAGGCTTTGTACGATGAATTGGTCCGACTGGGTACGCCGGGCACGTGGGAGCATATCTTGTCTCAAGTGAGCTTAGATGATACTATGATCCTGTTTCCGACACTGACTGTCTTTAGATTGGCATGTTTACGTACACGGGATTGACCGCGAACCAAGCCCTTGCCATCCGTGAGCGCCACCATGTCTACATGCTTCAGTCTGGCCGAGTTTCCATGTCTGGCTGTAAGCCGAGCGATACTATCTTTTATCTTTGGATTAGCTAACACCATGACAGTGAACACCAAGAACGTGTGCTATACTGCAAGGGCCATTGACGATGTTGTCCGCAATGTGGCGTAGACGAAGATTACTTCATTTCCTTTTTACCATATCTACTGTACAATAGAGGATGATTGCTTTTCGGATTTTAAAACACATGGATAAATGGATTTAGATCACCGCATGAGAAATGAGAAATGACAAGACTTCCCAAGTTGCAATTTGCCCACGTTGTACAACTGGGGCAAATAATCCTTCCGCGTGGCACTGCTGACATCCAGGCCAATCAGTCACTATTGCGATTCGTCTCCTTGTATACGAAGTGATCACACATCAAAGCTTTTTACAAAACCGGGTATAAATATCTGGTTCCTTAAGATCTCGTATTATGTTCCCGCACATAATTAACATTTACACTCAATCGCTATGGCTGGAATGATGAAAGCCGCAATCTGCAAACAGGTATGTTTTCCGTTATATGTTATAGATCAAGATGTTTTACCATATACCAGGCAAAAGCTCCCCTTGTAATCGAGGAAATTCCCATTCCCGAACCAAGCGGCCGCGAGCTACGAGTCCGCGTCAAAGCCGCCTCATTATGCCATTCTGACCTGAGCATTATGTCAGGTGACGGTCCATCCGAAGTGAGGAATGTCTTTCCTGTTATCCTGGCCATGAAGCCGTCTCCATCGTCGACAAACTCGGCCCCGAAGCAGCACCGCATGGATTTCGGGAAGGCGATCTCGTGGGAGCCTCCCTGTGGCATAACATGTCTGAATTGCAATGAATGCAAGACTGCCGGGCCGGACTTCTGTCTCACTAGGAGATCATTAGGCATCACTCGTCCGGGGAACTTTGCGGAGTATACCTTGATTGATCCAGCGAGTGCGGTATTGAATTCCCGCCCGGGTGTTGATCCAAACGTCGAGATCCTCCTCCAGCAACCCTATCGCCACTTTTTTGTGCTGGTACCACTATTTGGGGTGGATTGGAGCGAGCCCATATTCGCCCTGGCGAGACAGTTGCGGTTATCGGGGCAGGAGGTTTGGGAGAGCTAGCAGTTCGATATGTCCAGGCACTGGGAGGAAAGGTCTTGGCCCTCGACATATGGGATAAACAGTTGGAAGCGTGTAAGGATTACGCGAATGGGATTATCAACACACGCACCCTCAGCCCCGGTGCCTTGAAGGAGAAGATTGCAGAGTTGAACGGGCATAACACCGTCGATGTTGCCCTTGTGACGGCCGGTGCTGCGGCTGCGTATGAAACGGGAATGAACATTCTCAAACCGGAGGGGAAGTTGATTGCAACTGGGATACCCTTGGAGATTGTGCCTTTGCCTATTCTCCCACTCACTTTCCAGGCTATTCAGTATGTTCTTCTACCCTACCCTTGTACTGGTTTCAATTGACAGCAAATATAATCATCGGAAGCAGGTCCACCGGAGAAGCAGGAGTACAAAAATGCTTGGATTTCTCTCTTCGAAAGAAGATTCTTCCCAGAATCAATCCGAGGAAATTTCGGCTGGAAGAGGTGAATGAGATGATAGCTTTGATGGAGGCCAACCAAGTACATGACGGCCGCATGGTAGTTGGGTTTCCACGGTGATCTGATGGCAAGGTATGGTTTAATATAGGATACAGTCGCTCTTCAATAGATTTTTCCTACATGACAATTTGAGATATCGGCACTCAATGTTGAGACGCATACATGCATGCATTGACCATCACATTTCCATGTGAACTAATAGTCAATTTATGTATCTTACCTATAAACTTCCCGATCTAATTATTCCTCGTATATTTCGAAGAGCAAAATAGTGGCTAGAGAGGGGAGCCAGGTCAACAACCCGCTTACTAAGCGCCAGATCTTCGCGACTTCAATTCGCGCAATTCCATGAAACTATTTTCTCCATCAACAACTACCTTTAACGGGAATACAGTGGTTCTCATTATGCTCTTGCGAGGATGGAATCATCTGATTTTGTGCCTGGTGCGTCAGAAATGGGTTCTCTGACAGCCCATTCCAACGAAGAGAGCGAATTCGTCGGCAGCTCTAGCGGTGTTTTTTTTATCAACACTGTCCGGCAGGCCTTTTCACAGAATCTGAATCAATCTGCGGGATCGTCACCGTCTGGTTGTGAATTTCCTCAGCCGGAAGATACACTCGTGGGCAGTGAAGACTCGCCGCGGGATAAACACCATGTCCCGGCTTCGACTGCAGCGTCGCCTTCCAGGGCCTGTGACTCAGAGACTATAAGCCAATGGAAATATGCATCTGCAGTGGCTGCACATTTGGGCAATGCTCCTCCAGTGGATATGGCAAAGGAACTTATGATGGCGTATTTCAAAGTCTGGCATCCGCTGTTCCCTTTTCTGCATGGTCCGACATTCTTGCAGGCTATGGAATTTCTTTATTCGGGAGATGCGCAAGATACTACTACTGCCAATTTACCTTCATCTCTTGAGCACAGGAATGCGTGCTGGACTACTGTATTTCAGTGCGTGTTTAACTTGGCAAGTCTTCTGCGTCCTGATCTCCGTCTGCCGCGAGAGTCCCAAATTGAATCTCCCAGCAGCATGTACCCCCTACTGGGCGTGTTGTCATGCAGACACGATATTCCTTCACTGCAGGCTCTCTTAGCGGCGCAGCTCTATCTAGTTGCAAGAATGTCGCTTCGAACCGCATCGACTGTGGGTGGTTGCATTCTGCGATCCATGCTGCATGCGGGTCTTCATCGTTGTCCGTTCCGGTACAAGGAACTCTCGTCGCATGATCGACATTTGCGCAAGAGGATCTTCTGGTGTGCATATGCAATTGATCGGTACCTGAGTCAGGCCCTTGGCCTGCCCCTTGGCATTCAAGACTCAGATATCGACGTTTGTCCTCCCGGGGCTCCAGAGATTCATCTTCCTGGGATTCATGGGACCGATTGCTTACGCTTATTCGGGGGGACACCTTCTGAGAAAGGCACGAGTCAAAACATAAGATCAGACAAGATATTAAACCAGGAAACCGAGGACCCACGCAAAAGGGAAGTTGCTCTAGCAAACTACGTGGAATCTGGAAAGCTCACTGGCCAAGCACTGGAGCTATTTCACAAGTCTGTCCTTGTTCGCTCTATCCGACGGAGCTCTGTTCTCTTTTTAGCCTCAGACGTCCACAGGTGGTGGAACAGCCTTCCACGAGAACTACAAGGAAACCTTGGAAAGGCAGACGCAAGCATTCCCGCTGTCTCATCCGCATCATCATCACCCACGGATAAGCCATTCGACTTTGGTCCATTTTTTACTATACTCTATCAACATTTAATCCTCTTGATCAACCGACCTTTCCTGTCTCTTGCCCCATCAACTCCAGAGTTCTGTTCTGCGCTACAGACTTGTATCGGTGCTGCTCGGGGAATTCTCGCGGCTTTGAGAAGTCAGGTTGATGGAAAGCAGGAGTTGTTCTGGCCTGGATTCCTTTCTGCTGCCTGGATGTCAGGCCTTGTCCTTGCTTTCGCCTGTCAGCTGAGGCAATATGTCCTGTCCAAGGGTTCTCAGTAAGTTCATACCGTGCGTCCTGATCCATTTTGGAATTCATTCTCATCAACACAATAGTGAAATAAACGAGTGCTTGAAATTTTTACGTATCATGTCTGCGCAATGGGAAACGGCCAAACATTGCCATTCAGCACTGACGTTACTATTCAGCAACATACAGCAGTCGGCACAGGAGCCGCAAGGGTATTCTGACCGAGCTAAAGGTGAAGGATCAACAATCAATACAAACAAAAAACGGAGGCTCGACAACAATCCCTCATATCACAGAGGCGGACGAGAATCGATGCACCTTCCATTGGTCCCTAAAAACGACCCCAATGAGCAACAGCATCAACAACCCACAATTAACCCCGTTTCTCAGTCACCAGAGCCAAACCAAGAACTCGCAAATTCGTACAACGATGCCATCGCTATCCCCTCCGCAGACATCGCTACTGCAGCCGATGACTTCACAGAAGCAGATAATAACCGTCTCTTTTTCTTCTCTGATAACACATCCTCTAACCCCGGACAAGGACCTGGTCCGGGGTTAAGCGGGGTGGGAAACTTCGACCTCAACATGGTGGATTTGTTCCAGGCTCCAGCGAATTTTGATTCGCTTTTCGACCTGTTCGGTCAACAATACCCGAGTTTCTAGTTATTATTCGACTCCGTCCTCCGGATGCAAAAGCTTGTTTACTCGGTCAGGTTCCGGCGGACAGCACCCGATGCATTTGTTTCCCCCGGCTGACCAATCTCCACATTTCCATTTCCATCATGCGAACAAAGTACTAGAGCAAGCATTTTTAGACTCCCACTTGGGTGGGCTATTTCCAGGGTCCGTGCGGGATTGACAAATCTCTCCGTGATTCTTGATATGGGGTCGGGGACCGACCGAGACTGACTATTTCGCTTCTATTTGTACGATTGATCATGAAGCTGTCATCTTCTTAGCTAAAGAAAACACTCGAGAGCACGACACAAAGCAATGAACAATATGCAAGGTGAAAGGATTGAGCTCGCCCAGATCTTCTTGGTCGCTTGTCCGTCATTCATTCTCTTCGGCTACAATCAATCTGGAGTTGGGGGCTTGGTTGATTTCCCGTCACACCAGACAATTTCCTGCTATCGACACATTGAGCACTACCGGGGCTCAGAAATCCCACAATGCAACAGTGCAAGGAGCGGTTATTGCCTCTTACACTATCGATGCCCTCTTCGGATCCCTCATTTGCACATGGATTGGTGATATTCTCGGTCGTCATCGCACTATCTTCACCGGAGCTCTCATTGCATTGATCGGGCAGGCGTTAGAATGTACGGCTTATGCCTTGGCTCAATTCACCGTCGGCAGAGTGATTCTAGGATTTGGTGTCGGGATGTTAGCCGCCACGGTGCCAGTCTGGCAATCCGAATGCGCGTCACCAAACAAAAGAGGACGTAACGTTGTCCTAGCCGGCATGTTCATCGCCTTTGGATTTTCCCTGACGCAATGGGTGAATTTCGGCTTCTTCCAAATCCAGGAACAACCTACCTCTTGGCGAGGCTCCCTGACCATCCCAACCTTATTCTCCTTCATCATCATGTCCAGCATCTTCTTCCTCTCCGAATCCCCTCGCTTACTAGTCCTCCGTAACCGCTCCGACTCAGCCCAACAATCCCTAGCCAGCCTACGAGGCAAATCCATAACCTCCCCAGAAGTCCTCAACGAACTCCACTCAATCGAAACCTCCCTCGAAGAATCCTCCCACAGCACTATCCGCCTCAGAGACGTCTTCAGCAAGAACGAAGATAAACTTCTCTACCGCTTCCTCTGCATAACCCTCCAGTTCTTCCAGCAGATGAGCGGCGGCACCCTCATTTCCATTTACACACCTACAATCTTCCAAGGCGACCTAGATCTCAGCGCGAGAATGGCCAAGATCCTCGCTGCCTGCGCATTGTCATGGAAGTTTCTCTCGTGTTTCGTGGGTTTCTTCATAATTGACCGGGTTGGACGCCGTGCTGCATTCATGATTAGTGGTGGGGGCATGGGATTATGTATGGTTGCGATGGCAGTCTCGACGTCATTCATAGGGAATCATACGGCCTCGATTATTTCAGCACTGTTCGTTTTTATATATAACTTCTTCTTGCCGTTGGGATTTTTGGGCATAAACTTCTTGTATCCCGCGGAGATTGCACCGGCTAGACTACGGGTTGCTGTGCAGTCGATTTCGACAGCGAATCAGTGGTTATGGTACTTCCCCCTCCCTCATTCTTATCTACACGAAGTAACATGGCTGATTATTTTATTTCAAAACAGGATGTTCGTCGTCGCAATGGTCACCCCTACCGCAATCGCCCAGGTCGGATACCAGTATTACATCGTTTACGCTGTTATCTCGCTCATAATCCCGCCCTCTGTCTGTCTTTTCTACCCCGAGACCAAGAATCGATCTCTCGAAGAGGTTGATCAGATCTTCCGTGAGTCGACGTCCATCAGTGATGCTATGAAGGCGTCGAGGAAGTTGCCGATTCAGAATGATGTTTCAGGTGGGCTTGAGGGTAAGGCAGTTGTTTAGGAGGTTGAGTGAGAATATATCGGGTACTGATTGGCTATGCAAATCCATACAAATCCCAAGCGGCATAGAAAACGAGGGATCATGGATCCAATATCAAAGAGTTCATGTAGAAAATTTGATGGCCACATTCAAATGCCAACAGCTTTCCCTAAGCTCCTTGGGCTGTATATACCTAGCGTCTACATATGTCCCATGTTTTACGGGTGGTGACAACTGGGCTTGGAAGTTGGAGCGAGGTAAACATATCTGAGACTGCAATACTGCAACTACTACAAAAGGTAAAACAAGAAGAAAAAGGGTCCCGCGAGGAAATCATAAACTCTATATTACACACCTGTCAAATACCCAACCTAAAATATGATCATAAAACGCATAGAAATGAAACGCCACAACCCCCTCATTCCATGGGAAAGACCATCTTCGCTTTGTCTTTTTTTTTTTTTTTTTCGCTGAATCCCAATGTCGTTTAATCTCGACGTCCAGGTTTCTCCTCCTTGCCATTCCGCAAGAAATCCATCCCGAGAAAAGAAAGCGTAGGAAGCTACCAATGTTTCTTGACGCAATCGAAGAACAGAGAAAAGAGGAAAGAGAAAAAGCTAAGGGATGTGAAACAGATCTGTCGTTCACTAGACACCGCTAAGAAAGAACTTTTAGGAAACCGAGGGATATCAGGTTCAGGAGAGAAGGGGTAAAAAAGAAAAATAGAAAAAGAAAAATCGTGAATCAAGGGGAGCCAGAAAGAGTCATCAACCGTGAAACAACATCTCCGTGCCGGGCATGTCCATGTAAATCTCTTTACGACTTGTTCTCTTCACCCTCCTGAGGAGCAGCAGCCTCCGGCTTAGGCTCGCCAGCCTCACCCTCTGTGCCCTTGTTCTTCATGTACTCGTCGTAAACACTGAGAGCCTCGTCGACCTTGGCGCGAAGAGCTTCCTCATCGTCGAGCCTAAGACATTAGTATGATTTTCGCGTAAAACGATAGTTCAAAGGGGTGTAGGACTTACAGGCCAAGGAGTTCAGTGTTTTCCATCTCCAGAAGCATACCAGTGACCTTACCAGCCAGCTCAGGCTGCTGGGCCTGGATCTTGGGGTACAGAGCTTCACCGAGCATCTGCTTTTGTTGCGGGGCGGGGGCAGCGGCGAGAGACTGAGGGGTCAGACCGCCAGCGGCAGGGGTCTCGGGCTGAGCGGCGGGCTGAGCAGGGGCGTTCTGTCCGCGACCACCACCACGGCCCATGCCCTGCATGGGACCACCGCGGCCACCAAATCCACCACGCATAGGCATGCCAGGAACCTGACCACCGCCACGTCCGCCACGTCCGCCAAACTGCACCTGAGCCATCGCCTGAGGGTAGGCCATGCCATTAGGAATGCCACCAGGGCCCTGGATAGCGCCCATGGGGATACCCTGAGCGAAGTTAGGAGGAATTTGCTGGTTGGGACCCATGCCACGGCCACCCTGAGGGAAGGGAGGATACTGGCCAGGACGTCCACCGGGGATGCCCATAACCATACCGGGCTGGGGAGGGAAAGCCAAACCGCCACGCTGACCAGGGATGAAACCCTGCTGGCCAGGACCGTAGAAGACGGCGGGCTGCATGTACTACCGATACGTTAGTTTCCTAAACGTAATATCGAACGAAAATGCAAAACTTACAGGCTGAGGCATGCCAGCGGCAGCAGCGGCCTGCTGTTGTCTGATGGTGTTGCGAGCCTGGATGCTGGCCTCAAGCTGGCTTCTACGGACATCCTTGCGCTGAGCAAGGGCAACGTAAAGAGGCTTGCCATTGACCATTCTCTGGTTCATCTCAGTGACAGCCTTGGAGGCTTCGTCGGGGCTGCTGAAGCAGACGAAACCGAAGCCCTTGCTCTTGCCAAAGGTCTTCTTCTTGGGCTTCTCCTCACCCTCAGCGGGTTTGTCCTCGGCCTTCTCGGCTTCAGGTTCCTGCTCCTGCTCCTGCTCCTGCTCTTGTTCCTGCTCGTTCTCCTTGCCTTCCTCCTTCTCCTCCTCAGACTCGACGCGCTCGACGTTGGAAGCGTCGCGCATCACCTTGGCGGAGGTGATGGTACCGTAGGGGCCGAAGAGCTCGCGCAGCTTTTCGTCGTCAATGTCGTCTGTCAGGTTCTTGACGTAGAGGTTGACACCCTGGTACTTGGAAGCTTTCTCCAGACGGGCAGCTTCGTACTGTCTGCGGAGCTCCTCCTCACGCTCGTGCTTCTTCTGAGCACGACCAACGTAGAGCTTCTGGCTCTTAACGTCTTTGTCGTTCATCTCTTCCACGGCGGCCTGCGCACTTTCATGGGTCGAGAAGTTGACAAAACCGAAACCACGGCTCTTTCCCTCCTGGTCACGGCTGAGAGTAGCGGAAGTGATGTCACCGAACTGCTCAAAGATAGTACGGAACTCCTCGTCCGAGACCTCCTGGTCGACATTCTTAACGTAGATGTTGGTGAAGTTGGCCTTCATCTCCTCGAACTTGCTCTGGCGATCCTTCTTGGAGATGTGATGGCCAACGAAGACCTTCTTGTCGTTAAGCAGCATGCCGTTAACGTGCTTGATGGCGTTGTTGGCAGCCTCAGCGGTCTCGTAGTGGACGAAACCGTAACCCTTGGAGTTGGCGAACTCATCTTGAGCGACCTTGCAGCTGAGAATGTTGCCAAAAGCGGCGAAAGTGTCGTGAAGGGCCTTGTTGTCGATAGCGCTGTCCAGGTTCTTGATGAAAACGTTGCCCTGGCCTGTCTTGCGGAGAGCGGGATCACGCTGAGACCACATGATACGGCAAGGCTTGCCCTTGATCAAGGTGTAGTTGAGGTCCTCGAGAGCGCGCTCACCATCGGCGGTGTTGTTGTAGTTAACGTAGGCGTATCCGAGCGAGCGGCGGGTGACGGCATCGCGGCACACACGGATGGAAGCGACCTGGCCGATGGAGGAAAAGAGCTCGTAGAGCATAGCCTCGGTAACCGAGGGGTCAAGTTCACCAACATAGAGGGAAGCCGAGTGAGGCTGGTTGGCAGCAACGGTGGAGGTCTCGGCCGCAGTGGTCTCGGGGGCAGGAGCAGCGGTCTCGGGGGTGCCGTTGACAGGGTTGTCAGTGGCGGGGTTGGTGGTAGCGTCGGCAGACATTTTTGCGATTGGTATTGGCTAAGGAGAAGGTATCAGTATAATGGATAAATTCAAGGTTGAGAAACAGCAGAATAGCAGGATGCAAGTGAATGGTTTTCTTTTTCTTGTTCCAATCACAGGTCGAAGGTGCGAGCAATGGCCTGATTCGAGGCCCTCTTTCGCACACAACCAAAGAAACGGACCCGATAAGAAAAGGCAGAAAGCGAATGGATAATATTAAGAAACACAGAGTTCTTTTAACTGATGCTCTCACCAGCCAAATAGTAGACAAAAGAACGTTAAATAGCGCAGCTCTGGCAGACTCACAGCAGAGCCTCCAGAACAACGTAGCAGACAATTCTCAAGTCTCAGGTACAAACAAAGAAATAGAAATAGAAAACCAAGCGCTGATAGAAAGAACGAGGCAAAGACACGATGCACAAGTGGGCTAACTCACCGCACAGAAAGTCGACACAGAGAGCGTAAATCAAAAGAGCTTGTCAGCAAATGACACTTTTTTTTTCTAAATTTTCCTGTTTTTTTTGTTGATTTTTCTTTTCGATAAAGATTCGAAAGAAGAAAAAGAAGAAAGAAAAAAAGGGAGTGGTTTAAGAGAGATGAAGAAGAGGAGAGGTTAAGAGGGAGGAAAAAAAGCGAGAAAAAGAAGTTTTGGTGGAGAGAAAAAAAAGACACCGCTCGAAGCGGCAGTATTCCAGTGCCGCTTTACGGCCTTCTGGAAAACTGCCCGCCCTAGGCCAAATATGGAAGGTGTGCCCCGCTGCTTCAACGTCATTACTCAGCGTCAGAGTTTTACAGCCCTATGCAAACACCCTACAGGGGCACAATATAGTAGAAGAGAGCAGAATGAGAGCCATTAAGCTATATAAAATTTCAGTCTTCATACAATTCAATCATGCAACATGTATCAAATGCTGGTAACCTGTGCAACGCCACCTCTATGCAAGTAGCTCTCGAATTCTCTGGGTATTATAGCAAACAATCTCTAGGAAAGGGAAAATGATCAGCTCAAGTCAAATCCAGCTCCTGAGTTGACCGCGTATAGAAGCTTCTCCCGTAGCGTCTCCGCGTTCGAATAACGTGGCAGTTTCAACAAGTTCACGCAGGTGCTGGTGCTGGGAAGACGTTCCTGGTCCTCACTCGAGTCGCGGATGCTGAACCGGGGGTTAAGGTGACTGAAACCCAGAAGCGGTGCTCGCGGAGTAGAAGTCACGAACTTCAACACCTTCTGGCGTTCCTCATTCGTCATGTTGAACATCACCTCCCAGAACACCTTGATTGTTGGGTGCTCTTGCTGGTCGTCTCCAATGACGTACACTCCTCCGTACAACGTGTTGCGCCGCAAGTCTGCCACGTCAATATCACCCGACTCGCCGCTCACCAGAGTCTGTAGCTCGGCCTGGTTGAACATCGAGAGCCACGAGGGTTGAATAATCTGTCCAAGTCCTTGCAAAAAGGCGTTTGTCTGGAGGGCTGGTTGTGCCTGGAGACGGTACCGGGCAATGTACGAAATGTACACCAGTCGGTTTTGATTCGTAACAGCGATATCTGATCCATTTGATTTCAAGTCGCGAGTAATTGTGCGGCTGCCAGAATTCGGGAGGGAAACAGTGTCAGTGATGGTAAAGTTCAGCGCAAAGTCTTCAACGTCGCCAGGATAATTTTTCAATTGCAACTGTAGGACAAGCAGTTAGTTAGAGATCAATGTGGACGGAAATTGTGACCTACCAATCCTTGATAGAGACCTTGGTCAAGATCTCTCATATCGTTGAGGTTAGCTCGGTATGCTGACTCCTTCTGCGCCGAACCAGTTCCGCCCGTCAGAGCCCACTTGAGCAGGAAGAACGGTGCAAAGTGAACATCAACAAGAATGCCCTCGTAAAGACACTTTCCAACAACTCGCCCGAGGAACTCATATCGCCGCAGCAAGTCTCGCACCTGCTCGTTCCACTCTGCACTGCGCTCCAGATATCCTGACTGTCGAAGCAGCTCCCTCCGCTGCTCGACGGCCATGGGGTTGGGGTACAGGAGATGGTCATCGTTCTCTCCGAACAAGGGGGACTCTCGGTCTGATTTAAAGGCCTCGTGAGTAACGCTGGTCAAAAACTCCTTGGTCACACCACCTCCATCGATTCCCGCTTCCGGGTTGTTAAACTTGTCAATGAAAGTGATCTGAATAGGCTCTTTTAAGCCTTCTCCCAAGTCATAAAATTTTTCGTAGGCATCATCGAATATGCTCTCGCGCTTGATATCTGCGTGTTGTCGGGTCAGGACATCTTGGCCTAAATCGCGACCATCCATACGTCCCATCGAGGCCTGAGCAACAGACATCCGCCAAATATCAGGGTCAATGGCCCCGTGTCTCCGACGCATTTGATCCCGATGGATAAATTCCCGGAAAACCTGTACTCTCGTGGGAAAAGGAATGAAGAATGGCATGTTCCTAAGGATTTCAAGTCGAGGTGCCACTGATTCCAGTTGTTTTCTACGGGCGGCTTGATGTTGACGGCGTCTGAGAGCTTCGATACGTCGCGTCTGCTGAGCACGGCCAGTGCCGATTAAGCCAGATGGTTCATAGGTTTCGTTCATTAAGTCGCCTTGGTCCTCGTCGTCCTCGTCATCCTGAAGTTGATGACGGTTCTCTTCTTCTGCAACCACAGCGGGGATGAAACCTTCCATATCAAAGCGATTCGTCATCAGCCAATGGTCGTCGGGAAGGAATTTACGTCTCGAGCTAGAAAATCGTGGTCAGAATGATATTTGATGAAAAATGTCGTATCAGGTCGGACATACTCTCGTTCGTGGATCATTCTCAACAATCCCGTAACAAGACCCTTGAAATAGTCAAGCGGTATACCGGTGACCCCAGGAAGACCCTTTTCTTTGTTCTTGATCTCAATATCCTTGGTGCTGGTAATCTGATCGGATGGAGGTGTTAACGAGGTGAAATAACTCCGGATGTCCCCCGAATATTGCCTGGTATCGTCTTCGTTTAGATCCGCTGAGTTCCAGTACAACGTGAATGCTAGGTTTTTCAGAAAAATGGTCATGTCCTTGATTTCTCCCAATGGCAGAGCACTTTCCTTGGTCCAGGATACTTTCGTATTCGAAGAGGCCGTGAACGAAGATTCACTGGAGAAAAACTCGTCATCATCCATGACTTTCAGAACAAACGTATAGAGCTCGAGAAAAAGTAGGATAATCGTCCATTCTTCGTCCCTTTCGCTCTGAGGGATTGTTGAATATTTCGAATCCGCTTCACTGGTAGGTTTCAACAAGGGGAGCACCTTGGTAGAATCTTGACAAATCGCTGCAAATATCCTGCTCGACCGCGATGCATGCCAGAAATACTTGATTGCTGGAATTCTTGATCCCGACTCGCCTGAAGTAGCAGAACCCAAGTAGAGCCACATCCGGATGTCGTCGCCACGTCGAGGGAAAACTCTCAGAAGCGTCAAAGCATAAGTGGCAAGAGTCTTGGCTTCGCGAGAAGCGACCGAGTCAGCGTTGGCCAATTCTCCTTGCGTTGAGTGAAGCTGAGACAGAAGTCCGGTAATGTTACTCTGATTGATAAGGCTGAACAGCTGTTCTTTGACAAGTGGGGGCAGTGGTTCTTTCGCCATAATCTCATCAAGATCACCCACCTCCTCCAATTCCAGCCGTTGTGAGACATGCACTGCTGTTGAGTTCAACAATTCCGACACGACCTTCACAAAGCCAGGTTCCGGTGCCTGGTGTCCTGCCTGGCTTCCCAACGCGTATCGATGGAAGTAAATGAAGTATGCAAGTAACCAGAGTCGAGCCTCAACATCCCCATCATTTGATGGACGACTCTTAAGCTGAGTATCCAAAGGTCCCAGAGCCAACGCGAGCAGTTTGTAGTTGATGTTGTTCGCCAAGCCATCAAGTGTCCCTAAATACGAAGGCAGGTCTGAAATAACAAGATAGTTTCTGGCGAACCACTCGTATGCAGTAAGTGTCTCGGATGTAATCGGCCGAAGGAGGGCAAGGATGCTTTGGACAAGGTGGTCGGGGGATAAGCTCGATCGACGGAGAGGCTCGATATTTGTCGTCAACAGTGACATGACAGAATAGTACTCTTGGGCAAGCAGTGCCATGATCTTGGGTATTAAGTTCGTAAGGAAAGCCAAGAGTTGCAACAAATGACTCGAAGCAAACGCCGGTACTCTCGACGACGGGGCCGAGCGCAGCACCCGGAGAGTCAGCTTTGCCAAACGTGTGAGCGGGGTGGTCCATTCTCCCTCCGTTGCAATGGTCAGAATCTCGTTCAAAGTTTTCTGAAATGCATTGGCAAAGTACACCAATCGCACGACATCACCGTTATTCCAGGGTTCCAGAAACTGGACCAAGAGTCTCAGCTGCGATAGACATCCAGCCGCCGATGCGTACGGGACCGACGCCTCAACATCCAACCCCGTCTGTCCTGTCACATCGTCAAATGGCAACAAAGTCCCTGCCCTCTTTTGTTCAACGGTATCCCATTCTGTCCTCCACGTGCCATGTGTATTCTTCCTGCTCTGATAGCCCCGCCATGCCCGCTGTACGAGTCGACTGGCCCCTAACCGATCCCTTTCCTGTTGTCTCGCTAAACGTTCCTGCTGGGCGATCGCGAGGGTGTTCTGTGGGCCGGAGCCATGGCCAGTTCGTCCCGACGGGAAGGCAGCGAATGGATTTGGGTTGCGGGCACCGAGGTTGACCTGCCGTGGACGACGAGCGTTGCCTGTAAATGATTGAAACATATTCTGTCTCCAGTCAGAGCTCGGACTTCAATATGCAGAAAACCACTAGAGATCGAGAGTAGCAGAAAATACAATCTGCATCTCCATGCCAAGAGTAACGCGACAACGAAGAGGGAAAATTGTAGTTGAAGTGGGCAGACTTGATGGTGGAAGAGCTGGCGACCTTCGGACTATGACATACGCATGATCAGCGAAAGCTATGCGCACGCATTCTATCGCCCAATTGGAGATTATTGCCACGGAAAACGCCAATAATATTTTTAGTACCACGCACTGGATGTTATGGAAAGTTCTATCAGGGGAAATATACAACTGGAGTGCAACCATAGAAAAAGGGTTATGCATTCACTATCGGGAAAGAATGATAAATAGATGATAACTCGGACTGAGGTCTTTCTATCATAAGTATATGTCGTCTAAATTTACAAATCACGGCTGGAGTTGGCCCCGACTGTGCCATAAGTTGGTACTGCATAGTCCGCAGGATCAACCATAGGTACACGAATTGGGCCAGTGTCCCTCCTAATATGATATCCGGACAGCCGTGTTCCACGTGTAATGCCAGGGATGGGCCCAACAACAGAATTAGCGTGCCGTTCATAGTGCCGCGTCCCCAGACATGCTGTACATATAGCGCATGGAAGATGAGATGTGATCGGCCAGCGAGCAAACAAACGGTAAGGTAAACCATGTAATCTTGTGGGGTTGAAAAAAACATGGAGAATTCAAAATGGATAATAATGTGGACAATGAAGTCTGTAGCCACGGTCAGAATGATATCTAAAGTAATCCCCGGGCAACATACGAACCTTTTAGTCTTGTTCAGCATTATAGTATTCTTTTCATAACAAGCCCGTCTATTAAGCGGACTTGGCCTCTGGTTCCACACGATCAAGACGCTCCATCTCAAGAACCTCTTGTCCATTATCCGATGTCCATAGCTCGAGGTAGTCTTTTCCTTCAAACGCCTTCTCTCGTGTAACAAATTTGCCATCCTTCTCGACCTCGTCCGTGTATCTACTCTTTGTCGGAGCCATAGCCTTGGTCACGAACGGAGTAAGCTAGTTCTATCTGTTAGCATACACTTCCATCCCACCGGGTTTCGCATTGTGCGCTGCCAAATAGCAGGGAAAAAGCGGCATACCTTGAACTGGTCAAGGTCTTCTGGTACAACGTATGTCCGGACTTTCTTCCAATCGATCACATAGGAGCCGTTCTTTGCGAAATAACCCATCGAGCCGCTCCGGGTTCCCTTGTAGTAGCCGCCGTTGACCTGCTTCGTTGTTAGGCGCAATCGCGCCATCATCGGTTGCGAAGGCTTGAACATTTTGACCGTGGCTATAATCCAGCAGACTCTTGCTGAAGAAACAATGGACTCCGTGATTGGCGAACGAGGGGTGGTGTCGGAGGTGACAGAAAGACCGTCTTTTTCCAGAGTCGGACTGCGCTAGTGAGCTTCGGCGCGCCGAGAACTTTTTTTTCCGCTGCCCGCGAAAAAGAAAAAGAAAAAAAAAAAAAATCAATTCTGCACCTCTTTTACATTTCTATGTCATTGCAAACACGGACCTAAAGATTTTGTTTTCATTCTTATTCCAGTGCAGTATTGAAGTACGCACCTGGTTAATTCAGAAGAAACGCAACCATGCCTCGCAAGCAGGCCCAGTTGCGCGGTCCCAAAGACCGAGAATTGCAAAACAGGTCGCAGAACAAGAATACGAAGAGAAATACCGGAAAGGGCTTGGATGCGCTCTCCATCGCTGAGGCTGAATACCCCATTAACCCCCGCATCCGACGAAGCCGTCTAGGCGTAGGTGACGACGATGATTTCTCCAAGCGCAAGCGAGACGATACAGACGGACCGGACAACAAGCGCCGCAGAACGGGCGAAGACGACTCGGGCGATAATGATGGTAGCGATGGCGATGGTCGCGAGTGGAAGATAGGCGAGGTCGACAGTGATGATGACGAGGAGCTGGATAGTGACGAGGCTATGGGTTCAAGTGATGAAGAACTTTTCGAGGGGTTTGCATTCCGCGGAAGCTCTACCACAAATTCGAAGCCGAAGCCAAAACAGAATAAAGAGAAAAAGACTCGCCAAATCAATCTCGACGAGTCGGATGAAGACATGAACAAGAACGAAGAGGATGACGACGAGGATGATGATTTGGGAGAAGATGCGGTCGATCTTCTAACTGCTTGGGATATGAATACAGCAGCAGAGGAGGAAGATGCCAAGAAGGCCGCCGCAAAGGCTAAGAAGGCCGCGACTGACGACTACGACGAGGAGTCTAGCTCACAAGACGAAGAAGACAGTGACGACGAGTCCAGCGAAGACGACGATGACGCCCTCTCAGCATCGGACGACGATGCAGATGCTGGAAATGAGCACGGTCTTTCGAGATTACAAAACTTTGTCAATTCAATGGAGACGGATACTACCAGCAAGCCAACAAAAAAGAAAGGATTTGCGCAGGAACAGAGCAAACCTACAGAATACGGTTTGACATCTTCGAAGAAATTGACTGTGGCCGACCTTCTACCCTCGATTTCGGATTCTCGCTTGAAAAGCTCATTAAAGCATGTCGATGCCACTGCCGATCATAAACAGTCGTCTGGCATCCCTGGCAAATTGGATGCGCCCGCTCCTAAACGCCAGCAAGACCGAATGGACCGGGAAGCCGCCTACGAGAAGAGCAAAGAGACTATGGACCGCTGGCTTGAAACCGTCAAGGCCAACCGCAGAGCCGAACACCTCGTTTTCCCTCTCCCAAATCCTGATGCGCAATTGGTACACAAACTGGACGCTCCTAAGCCACAAAACGACCTTGAGTCCACCATTCAGAACATCCTGGTCGAGAGTGGTCTTGCAACTACGCAAGGAAAGTCAAACGAGGATGAAGTCAGGGAATTCGAGGAGTTGGAGGGACGGAAGTTGCCCATCGAAGAGATCCGGGAGCGCAGGGCGGAGCTTCGCAAGCGCCGCGAACTTATGTTCCGGGAAGAGGTACGCGCCAAACGGATCAAGAAGATCAAGAGTAAATCCTACCGCCGTGTTCATCGGAAGGAACGGGAAAGGCTGGAGCAGCAAGAAAGACAGGCCCTTACTGACGCTGGTATCGACTTGGACGAGGAAGAGAAGGAGAAGATGGAGCGGCAACGAGCGGAGGCTCGCATGAGCTCGAAACATAAAGATAGCAAGTGGGCGAAAAGTCTCAGACAAACTGGCCGTACAGCTTGGGATGAGGAAGCCCGTCTGGGTGCTGCTGGTCAGGCGTTGAAGGAGGAAGAACTACGGAAGAGAATCGAAGGCAAGCGTGTGTCTAATGGTGATGATGATTACCTTGAGCCATCCAGCTCGGAATCTGAAGACGAGGATCCTTGGGCAGAGAATGGCTCCGATGTCGAAAAGGACAAGATCCGCAAGAAGATTTTTGCGCTTGGAGATGGCGATGCAGGGGAAGAATACAAGGGACCACATGCGAAGCTTCTCTCTATGAAATTCATGCAGAATGCGGAAGCTGCACGGAAAGAACAGAATGATGCAGAGCTCCGGAAACTAAACCGGGACCTTCAAGGCGGTGAAGAATCACAGTCTGAGGCGGAGTCAGAAGTTGGTCGACGAAGGTTCGGCCAGAACAAAGCTGAGAAGCCAGAGCAAAAACCGAAGCCATTCCGCAAGAATGAGTTTGAAGAGGCACCGGATTCGGACGATGAAGATGCCATTGAGCCTAAGGCAACTGAGACGACTCAGGCGACCAGCAAGCCCAAGCCGTCCGCACGCCCAGCCAAGAAGGATGCACCTGCACGTATCTCAGGCAATATCTCGAAGCAGCAAGAGACAATTGACGAAGTGGAGGAGAATCCGTGGCTGGTGCAGACGAATCGTGCCAACCGGAAAGCCAATGTCAACGACTCGAACCAGTCTGTTGATATCTCGATTAATGACGCATTCGTCTCCCCACCCGCCCCCACCCCCAAGTCCTCTAACATCAGCAAGGGTCAGAAGTCCAAGGCACCGGCTGTTAAGAAGCCGCAAATAGCCGAAGAGGCTGGCAGTGATGACGAGGGCCAGGTGCCGGTTCTCCTGAAGAACCATGATCTCGTGAAGAGAGCATTTGCCGGAGACGAGGTGGTACAGGAGTTTGAGCAAGAGAAGCTGGACACCATTGAAGACGAAGGTGATAAGGTGGTCGACAACACACTTCCCGGATGGGGCAGCTGGGCCGGCGAAGGCGTCAGTAAGAAGCAGCAAAAACGGCAAAGGCGTCATCTTACCACCGTTGAGGGCGTGAAACCCGAGCAGCGCAAGGACGCCAAGCTCTCGAAGGTTATCATTAATGAGAAGCGCCAGAAGAAGGTAAGCCAAGCTCAATGGATCTACGTAATATCCATGTGAAATCACAAGCTAACAGTTTGCTATAGAACAACAAGTATATGGCTTCTCAACTCCCTCACCAGTTCGAGACCAAGCAGCAGTACGAACGGTCCCTGCGTCTCCCCATCGGTCCCGAATGGACAACCAAGGAGACTGTCCAGAACATCACCAAGCCCCGCGTCATGATCAAGCAAGGTGTCATCAAGCCCATGGACAAACCAATGGTCTAATCTCGAATTGGTCATGCTTGACGGGGGTCGGCATATCCCCAATCTTCGACGTCAATTGTTTCTTTTTGCATGATTATAGATACGAATGGGCTTTTTATTTTTTCAATCTCGTGTACATTGGCATTATGATGACGCGTCATCGTCTCTTTCTGGGATTTTCTCTGGGTGGTGTGGTCTGTATACATAGGCAATTCTCGGCACATCAAGTCATAAAAGTTTTGAGACTCCAGTAGTACCCCGGATTCTTACTCCGACGGTTTGACGTGTAATCAATCAAAACCCCTCCATTTCTAGATGATTTAGTCTTGTGAGCCGAGTTTACCATGTCTCGAGACGTAATGTGCCCCGAATAGTCTTCTTTCTCTCCCGGGGACTTTCAACGGTTGCACAAGAGGGAAGGACAGAAACGCAGATCCAACGTCTCGGATCCAGTAAGGTTGAGCCGCCCCGGATTCTTTTATGCTCTTCGTCATCCCAAGCGAGGCAAAAGATGGCTAATGCAAGGCACATGGCTGTCAGACTACACGTGCTACCAGATCATCGGGCATTCCGACGCGCGCCTGTGGAATGCCATCACGCCGGCAACAACCTAGCCACGACAATTGCTAGCGGTAGGGACAACCAAGAAACAGAGACAAGATACACTTTGGTTTTGACCAATATCGGGCAATATGACACAGCAAGTAAGAAATAAATTGTGATTCTCGGGGTAGACGATCACGTGGGGCGTTTAGTCACCTTTCCTCATTAGGCAACACACAATCCTGACATCCCCTCCAACATCATCCCTCTTTTCCCTTCGCTCACTATATTTTCCACTAGAGAATTGTGGTCAGAGGATCAAGTCAGCCTCGAATAATTCTCGTCTCGCGTTGGACATTGACGTCGAAAGCCCTATTCATAAACGGTTGACTCCGCTATCATAGTAAGGAACTCCTACACCTACACTTACTAGTACCACAACAAGGGTTGAGTAAGCATTCCTTAACCCTGCATTGTTGCCCTGGTCCCCTTTTTCATGCAAATAAAAAATGCCTCTGCTTTGGGACCTGCAGTGCTGACATTTGATTCAGGCCGGCATCTGCTGTGTACCTGCCGAAACCCTTCCTGTCACCTGGTATTCGAACCGCGTCGGTGACCCCGGCCCACTAGTCGAGAATCCCTGAACGAGTACCGGACTAGAATGCTTATATTTGATTGACAGCCATCAGTGAGTCCTCACTTTTCTTTCTGGCATCTTTGGCTTTGTTCTGGGCCTCGAAGGACTTTGCTTTTGTCATTTTTTCAACCCGTCACTTTGGGACCCTGCCTGGGAATTTTCAATTGAGGCTTCATGTTCTTGATTTTGGTCTTTCTTCCCTCTTAGCTGTGCTTGTTGGCTTGTTCATTCGGGCTTGCCGAGACATTTTTGCTTTCCTCTGTCTTTTGCTCCTGTTATCTTAACTGGTCTTATATTGGACCAACTTCCTCGACATTGGAGAATTTGTTATTTGCTTTGATTATTCCCAAAACCCCCCTTGGACATGGCTTTAAGAATGAAGGGGAAGGCCAATTGGAGTTATACGGCCATGCTAATATGGCTTCTGGCACCAGATACAGCTCTGTCCTATCCGAAACCAACGGAATCAAACACGGAACCGACGAGTACCACCTCTTTCAAAACCCAGTATCCTCCAGGCAACGAGAGGCTGCTCATCCCAGAGACGACAGGAGTAAGTCATTTGGATGTTGTCGATGAAGCCAGAACTAACTCAATACACAGTTCTACCCAACGAGTCTTGAGCGCGACGTTCGTGGAAGTTCACCAGAAAGAACACCGTATTTGGGGCTTGACGGTCTAATTGATTGGTTCCTGTCTGACGGTGGTTTCAAGGAAACAGAACCTACCACCACAGGCCTACCTGCTGAACCGACACCAACTAGACCGGCACCAGCGACCTCGGACCCTGCGCCTACCGAAATCACAGAGCCAGAACCAACCACAGAAGAACACGAATTCTCATCGCACTCGTCAACTCCAAAGTGGGGGAGGCCTGGACATTGGAAGGGAGATTCCACGGCCACTGGATTTCCACGCCCATCAATGGAAGGGCAAGATGTTTTCCTGCCAGTCGCAACTGGCGGTATCCCAGGCAGCATCAGAGCTAGGGATGACCATCCAGTACCGAGGACGAATATTGTAAGAGCCTTCCTTCAGAATCCGATGTTCTACATCACTCATACCAATTAGGGCAACACTACGGACCCGATAGAGACGAACAAGTTCTACAGCGGACTGTTCTTAGGAACTCAAACGAATGGCACGTTTACTCACCCTTATAATATCGCGTGGGCCAAGGGCAACGGAAACGCTGGCAGCTACGGCATGTCGATCTCGCACACCGAAAAGAATGTGATCGCAGAAGGACCGCCCAACGATAAGATCCCAGGCCACCCGGTGTCTTTCTATGTGAACCCTGTTGGAATCCAGTCTATGGTCCTTTCAGCAGCAGAATTGAGAGACGGCACGGTTCTGACGGCAGAAGACCCAAGGCCGTTTTCGGCCAACGCTGTCCTGCGCCCACAGCCTGGATCACAACAGAACATCACTTTTCCTCTTGTCCAAGGCATGGGATTTTTGACCGGAATCTACACTGATTTGCAACCATTGGTCCAGACTGGTGTTCTGTACCAGAAGGTTGTGTCCGCGGGCAGCCCCAAGCCGGGTATCTTCAAATACCAAGCATACCTGGAAGACGGAAACATGTGGTTGATCTATGCAATTCCCAATGACGGAAAAGATCCCAACTTCAAGCTCGACTCTCATACCGACCTGCGAGGCCCCCAGGGGTGGTCTGGAACGATTCAAATTGCGAAGAACTCACAAGGTTCAAGCAGTGAAAAGCTCTATGACAACTCAGCCAGTGTCTTTGCAGTCCACGGTGTGCTATCAGGTGCTGTGTCCCAGGATACAGGAGTATACAATCTCGGATGGGCAAAGGCCGGTAAATATGCTAATGATACACCCCTAATCATGTTCGCGCTGCCCCATCACGTTGAATCGTTCGATGATACCACTAAGGGCCGAGTGACCAGCATTCAACTGCGGACCACGACCAAGGGCAACGCTACGGCCATTATTGGCGAACAATGGACATTGCTCGAGCCAGGACTGCCGATCAGCATGGACTTTGCCCCGTGGGTTCAGGATGGAAACAATCTCCCACCATCAGCCAAGAGGGTTCTCCTTGACATCGCGCCTAAGGATCTTGGGGAGGACATTGACAAGCAGTCGGATCTCAATAGCATGTACTTCAGCGGCAAGGCACTCAGCAAGTTTGCCACGATAATTTACGCTGTGAGCGAATTGGGCGGAAACCCGGGACTTGCAGCTGATGCCCTCGATAAGCTGAAGAAGAGCTTCTCCCGGTTCATCAACAACCATCAACAATTCCCCTTGGTCTACGACAACGTGTGGAAGGGCGTCGTGTCATCAGCCAGTTATGGTGGTGATGAGGGGGCAGACTTTGGGAACACCCTGTACAATGACCACCATTTCCACTACGGATACTTCATCCACGCTGCTGCCATTATCGGAACGCTGGACCCCGAGTGGCTGAAGACTAGCAAGGACTGGATCAACACGTTGGTGCGGGACGCAAGCAATCCGGTGGCTAATGACCCTCACTTTCCGTTTTCGCGAGCGTTTGACTGGTACCACGGCCACTCGTGGGCCAAGGGACTGTTCGAGTCGTTTGACGGCAAGGACCAGGAGTCGACATCGGAAGACACGATGTTTGCTTATGCGCTCAAAATGTGGGGTAAAACGATTGGGGATAAGAGTATGGAGGCGCGCGGGAATCTAATGCTGGGTGTGCTTCGCCGGAGTCTGCACAACTATTTCCTTTTGGAGCAGGAGAATATCAACCACCCACCGGAGTTTGTGCCGAACAAGGTGACGGGCATTCTGTTTGAGAATAAGGTGGACCACACGACTTACTTTGGAGCCAACTTGGAATACATTCATGGGTATGATAGCCTTACTTGCTGATTCAGGTATGTGAATGCTGACTGGCGCAGAATTCATATGCTTCCCCTCCTCCCAGCGTCGTCGTACGTACGCAACCGCAAGTTCGTGACAGAGGAGTGGAACGCATTGTTTGCATCAAACGCCAGCACTCCGGCAGACAAAGTCGAAGGCGGTTGGCAGGGTGTGTTGTATGCGAACCTGGCATTGATCGACCCGGTTACCTCGTGGGAATTCTTTTCTCGCGATGGATTTGATTACGGGGCGATTGACGGAGGCGCCAGTCGGACGTGGTACCTGGCATTTGCGGCTGGTGAGTGTTTGCCATCTGAGCGCTTATTCTTGTGGATTATGGCTGACTATGATAGGTATGGGGGGATGTCGTAAGTAAACAGGGATGGTGAGCTGAGCGATACGGTATGATGGCGTGGCTGGGAATATCAATGTTGGAATTGGGTGGCTTGATGTCTTACGTTATGATAGCTTGGATTTGATGTTTAAATTTTGTGTAGGCTTAGATGATCTTGCAGACATGCATATGTGCCCCAACAGTTTATCCATTGGCGTGCATTGTTGGTGCATGGGCCAGCATTTCCGTGACATGTGGCTGGCTAGGTGTGGCCAGTGAGCGTGGCAGTGCAGGTCGAGATTCAATCTGTTACATACAGGGATAATTACTTGTCAGGAGTTGGGCATTGCGGCGTGAAGTGAGGCACTGACTGTATTAGTGAAAATAAATAATGCTCTTTGCATCGTCGGCACATATAAATGGCGGTGGTACTGAATGCTTTGGACATTATTCTCCTATTCTTTTTGATCAAATAGATCGCCCCACTGATATTCAATTCCCACTGATCCGGAATCAAAACGAGGCTGTGCAAGTTCAGAGCGCCACGGTACGACATCATAGACCTATCAAGTCCAGTTCCGGAGCCAATTGACTATAACCTCTTTCTCTTTTTTCTCTTTTTCTTTCTTTCCAAACGATCGTTGTTATATCATTCACCCTTAATTGCTTGGGTCAGTCTTGGCTATTTTGATTGCTATCGTCCATCCCTGGTCTCCAATGGGTAAGTAACTTTCTTTTAATTCCCTGTACTCCCACTTTCTTTTACTCTTTCTCTTTTCCTCCCTTTAACGCCCATCCATTCCTTTCCTATCCGGGTGCCTACCCATTATAACCCTCAATTGAACTAATTGACTCCAATTCCAGCGTCAACACCACTCCGTTCAATCTTCCGCAGACACTCCTGGGGTTCCAAGAAATCCACCATGCCCTTCTTTGGCAACTCCGACGGCTCCGACGAACACACCTCCCTTCTTGGTAATGGCAATGGGAATGGAAATATCAACGGACACGGCCGCGGATACAAAGTCGCCAGTCACCTCTCCCACTGGCCCTCTCGAGTCCTGCATCTCACATGGGTAACCCTCGTGCGCGATTATGTCAACCTGCTCCTCGTCTTCGTGCCGCTGGGTATTATCGCAGGTGTGTTGAAGTGGGATGCCACGGCTGTGTTTACGCTGAACTTCTTCGCGATTATCCCCCTGGCGTCCCTGTTGAGTTTTGCGACGGAGGAATTGGCCGCGACGATGGGGCAAGCGTTGGGTGGTTTGATGAATGCGACGTTTGGAAATGCTGTTGAGCTTATTGTCAGCATTATCGCTTTGAAGCGCGGTCAGACGCGGGTTGTTCAGGCTAGTATGCTGGGCAGTATCTTGTCGAACATTCTGCTAGTTTTGGGTTGTTGTTTTTTTGCTGGTGGCCTGCGGTATCATGAACAGACCTTTAACAGCACCGTGGCTTCGACCATGTCGTCGTTGATGACTGTCGCCTCTGCGTCGCTTATTATCCCGGCTACTCTCTATTCGTCGTTGTCGAACCATTCCGAACGTGCGGAGAATATCTTGGTCGTCTCTCACGGAACCGCTGTTATCCTTTTGATCCTCTACGTCATGTACCTCTACTTTCAGCTGCGCTCGCATTCCTACCTCTTTGAGGAAGTCAACGAAGAAGTCACCGCCGACATGGAGGGCCAAGAAGATGGAGAGAATGAGGAGCGTGAGCCTCAGGAAGAACGTGTCCTGAGCCCTTTGGCCGCCACTGTTGCGTTGGTGGTCGTCACCATCCTGGTCGCGCTCTGCGCCGATTACTTGGTCGACAGCATCGACGACATCGTCGAAAAGACCGGCATGACCCCAACTTTCATCGGTCTGATCCTCATCCCCATTGTTGGCAATGCCGCAGAACACGTCACGGCCGTCGTCGTCGCCTGGAAGGACAAGATGGACCTGGCTATTGGTGTCGCCATCGGAAGCAGCTTGCAGATCGCACTCTTCGTCACTCCCTTCCTGGTCATTGTTGGCTGGATCATCGGCGTGCCTTTGACGCTGCACTTTCAGACTTTCGAGACTGTTGCTTTCTTCATCTCTGGCTTGGTCGTCACCTTCTTGATCCAGGACGGCAAGTCGAACTATCTCGAGGGTGGACTGTGCTTGGGAATGTATGTCATTCTTGCACTTGCATTCTACGTCTACCCGGACACTGATGCGGTTGGGGATGCTCTTGTGAATGCATCATAAACTTTTAGTCTCTTATGACCGTATATACCAACCTTCAATTTTCTCCTTTTTATGATTTTAGTTTCTTGACTGTTTAGGGAGGATGAAGTCCTTTGATGTCTGTTCGTTCGGGCTTGGTTTTCTTTTGTCGCGAGTCGACTCGCTATAGCGCTTTGGTCGCTAGCGATTCCTTTCTTTAAGAATGTGTTAGTATGTAAATGTTGGATTCATATGCATTGGTTTTGGAGGATTTCTGGTTTTCGTTCGGGTATAGGGTAGGACAAGTAGCCTCATCAAAATACATTCTCTTAACTTGCGTCACTATATGGTCCTATAGCGCAGAGCAACAGTGCAGACACCTTTTTTGAGTCACATATACACATCAACTCCGGCACGAGAGGCAGCTGTAAGTGTACAATGCAGGTGCGTACAGAAAGCTAAACACTCAACAACCTACGAAGAATATTCCAATAACAGAAATGAATATCATTAGTTCAAAGTCGGGCAACAGAATTACCATCCTAGAAACAAAGAAAGAAAACACTTTCCACAATGCAAAAAAAAAACGAGACCGAAATCCCCTCCTGAGTCCACAAGCACAATATCCGAGTCGCCAACATCCACGAATCTGAAAAGGTAAATATCAGACCAAGGCTCAAGCACCACTGCATCCCGCCCATGGCCCGCAAGTCCCGTAATCCGTGACTTAAACCCCATCGATCCCGCCAGATCCGCACCAAACCCCTACATCGAGAAATACTACTTCTTCTACGGCACGCTCATGATCCAGCCATGCTCACCCACGTCCTGTATCTTGACTACAAACCCAACCGCTGCCCTGCGTACATCCTTGACTATGGGATGAAAATATAGGGACCGTCTCCGGCTGTTTTACACGAGGTCGCGAGTGGGCAGAGGATCGACATTGTGGCGTATAAAGTCAAGTCTGAAGAAGAGGAGGAAAAGCTGGCTGCTTATGAATGGGGATGTATAGGTAAAAGGAGTTATGGTTCATTTCAAGGTTGGGATTGGGAGTTCTGATAGAGGTTGCTTGGTGGTTGTGATGGTTGCGATGTGCCCTAAGGATCTCGGGTACTTTAGTTTTATTTTGTCTTGTTTTGTTTTGTTTTGTTTTTTTTTTTTTTTTTTTTTTACCGTCGCTGCATAGATTATTTTTCGCCGGA